AAGGGAGAAGCTGGTTGGGTGGGTCCCTGTGGATGGATTTTTAGGGTCTGGGCCAAGGCACCGGGCCCCCCAGGTCTGCTGGATTCTGTGCCTGAAAGTGAGGCAGCTTCTGAGGCCTCCCGGCTTTGCAAGGTCTGTTCCTCACTTCCCTTCCTCCAAGGAGGCCGCGAGGCCCGGCAGGAATCCGGGTCTGTTGGTGTCTATGGGGGGAATTTTTAACTGTTGTCATTAACTTTATTGTCACAAAGAGACAATGACTCCCTCCCACGAATGTTGCTCCTGTTTTGTTATGAAATGAGCCCCGAAGAATAAGCAGATCAGGGCCCCCGTTTCCGAGACAGGAGCAGAGGCCTCCTTTAAAAGTAGATGCATCTGGGGGCTGGAGCGAGAGCACAGCGGGGAGGGCGTTGGCCTTGCACGCAGCCGACCCGGGTTCGATTCCCAGCATCCCCTAGGGTCCCCTGAGCACCGCCAGGAGTGATCCCTGAGTGCAGAGCCAGGAGGAACCTCTGTGCATTGCCGGGTGTGACCCGAAAAGCAAAAAAAAAAGAGAAAAATCAATAAAAATATATGCATCTGGGGGCCAGAGTGAGCACAGCGGGTAGGGCGTTTACCTTGCACGTGGCCAACCCGGGTTTGATCCCCGGCATCCCATAGGGTCCCCCCGAGCGCTGCCAGGAGTAATTCCTGAGTGTATGAGCCAGGAGTCAGCCCTGAGCATCGCCGGGTGGGACCCAAAAAGCAAAAATAAATAAAAAATAAATAAAATCAGACTCCAGCTCTTGGAACCTGGCACCCAAGGAGGACTCTCTGACAGTGCTCGGTAGGTCTTGGGGTCTGGGGGCTCCCGGGGGGCTTTCTCAGGGCTGTCCTTGGCAAAACTGGCGCCTGTTCCAGGGAGACAGGGCCTGGCCTTCTCTGCTCACCCAATGTCATGCGTTGGTGGGTCCCTCTCTGCATCAGGACGTGCTGGGGAGGGCAGCTGTTTCCTTTCTTACCACCCAGGTGGCCGCTGTCTTTCTCCCATTCTTAGCTTTTGGGTGACACCTGGTGGGATCCCAGGGACCCTAGCGGGTGTCGGGAATTGACCCGGGCCGGCACCCTCCCCTGCGGCCACTCTGCAGCTCCTCGCCGGGCTTTCAGGAGTAGAGCCAGCAGCCCTGAGATGAGCCCCCAGCCCCAAGCAAGGGCAGAGTCGCCATGGGGAAGGCTGGTTTGCAGGAATCACCCCCGAGGCAACTCCGGGGTCCCCAACCCCGGGTCTCCTGGACCCAGGATCTGCAATGAGGCCGCTGGTCCCACCCAGAACTGCTCGCCCTGATAAGGGGCGTGTCCCTGAGCTCAGCGGGGCGGGGACCGGGAGCAAATCAGAGCGTGAGCTGGACCCCTCCCAAGGTGTCCAGGCCAGCCCCCCAGAGCTGGGCCACCTGCACTTTTTTTTTCTCTTTGGGTCCCACCCGGCGATGCTCAGGGCTGACTCCCAGCTCTGCACTCAGGGATCACTCCTGGCAGTGCTCGGGGGACCCTAGGGGATGCCGGAGATCGAACCCAGGTCAGTTGTGTGCCAGGCCAGCGCCCTCCCCACTGTGCTATCTCTGAGCCCCTGATCTATCTCATTTTATGTCTGGAAGGGGCTAGTGATGCTCAGGGCTGACTCCCAGCTCTGCACTCAGGGATCACTCCTGGAAGTGCTCGGGGGACCCTAGGGGATGCCGGGGATCGAACCTGGGTTGGCTGCGTGCAAGACCAACGCCTTGCCTGCTGTGCTATTGCCCAGGTCCCTGGTTCATCACTCGATTGATCGATTGATTACTTTTTGGGTCCCACACAGCGATGCTCAGGGCTGACTCCCGGCTCTGCACTCAGGAATCATTCCTGACGGTGCTCGGGGGACCCTAGGGGATGCTGGGGATCGAACTCAGGTCGGCTGCGTGCCAGGCCAACGCCCTCCCCGCTGTGCTATCTCTGAGCCCCTGATCTATCTCATTTTATGTCTGGAAGGGGCTAGTGATGCTCAGGGCTGACTCCCAGCTCTGCACTCAGGGATCACTCCTGGCAGTGCTCGGGGGACCCTATGAGATGCCGAGGATCAAACCCAGGTCGGCTGTGTGCAAGGCCAACGCCCTCCCCACTGGGCTATCGCTCCAGCCCTACCATCTGCACTTCAGGCTGCTAGAACCTTCTCCCCTGTCCTGGTGGTGGTGGGGGGGAGGAGATGGCCGGCAGGGCCCCCTGGGGTTCACCCTCAGCACCCCACGGGATAGAAAGACACTCCCCCAGAGAGGTCCAGAGGCCTCCCCCTGGCCCAGGATGGTGTAAAGGTGGAGGTTGGTGACCTAGGACAGTCTCCGGGCGCCCGTCCTTCTGCAGCGGGCCGGCTGGCCACTGGCCCACAATCCCCCGCATTTGGGAGGCCCCTGGGCCCTCTGTGGGGCCCTTTCCAGTCCCCCCCGTATCCATGGAGACCAAGGACACTGGCTAGATCCCTCCCCCCGACACACACCGCCGCCCCCAGGATCCTGAACACTCCCCGAAATCCCCACACGCACGCGAGTCAAGAAACACGAAGCAGAACCAGACCAGCCCGTTACCACGAGGTGTTTTTTTTGTTTGTTTTTGTCTATTAATTCTTCGCTCCAAGCCCCCCACCCCCCCAAAAAAATCCCCCCAAGAGCGTTGGTCCCTCTCTCCGGGTTGGTCAACTTCCTTCTGGACCCAAGCGAGCACTTATATTACAGGGCGGCCGCCGGGCAGGCAGGAGGGCAGCGTGGAGGCGGGGGTCTGGGTGGAGGAGGGGGGTTGGGGGGCACCTTGTGGCCAGGCCCGGGCCCTCCTGGTGGTCTTTGCTTTTGAGGCTCCTCCCCAAGTCACTCCTGGCAAGGCTGTTGGTTACAGGGGCCTCCTACGACCCCTGACCCTGCCTGGAATCTGCTCCAGCCACCTCAGGATCCCTCCCCCCCGCTCACTCCCAGCCAAGCCCCCGTCACCCCACAAAGTCCAGCCCCCATCTGTCACCTTCAACCCTGCCCCGCCGTCCAGGTCGGAGAGCACTGTGGGGTGAGTCCAGCTTTGAGGAACTGCAAACGTCCTCCATGAACTTGGACCCCGGCCATGTGCTTGGGGGGTCTCCACCTCCTTCCCCTTCTCCTCCTCCCTCCCGACCTGGCTTTGCACCCAAGCGGAGCGGAAGTGGGGTACACCCCCCCTTGGCTGTTCTGTCCCCCTGCCTGGACAGCCGCCCTTGGGTCATGTCCTGCTTCCTGATGCTGCTCAGACCCACGCAGGGAGGGTCCGGGGACGGGGCTCCTCCCTGCAGCCCACCTCCCCGATGCCACGGACCAGCGGCCCCCGGGTCATTGTGGCGTTTGCTTAACTTGGACACACGTCCGTAGTTCTCGGGGAAGTGGACATCCCACCCCGAGCCCGGCTCAAGCCATTTGGGGGGGCTTGAGCCCCTTTTTCCTCAGCCCCCCACGTACTGCAGAGGAGGCAGGAATGGCACCAGCTGTCTGCCCAGTCCTCCCTCCCTCTCTCTCTCTCTCGGGCTGGCGGGGGGACATTGGGGGGCCAGGAGCAGGTCGCCGAGCACTGTTCGGGGAGGACTCGCAAGAGGCTGGCGTGAGTGCCCGGCGGGGTAACCGGAGGCCGCCGTGGACGAGGGGAACCAGGGCACCAGGGTGGGATGCCGGGACTCCTGGGACGTTAGAGGCAGGGGCCGAGCCCAGACCCGGGTGGCCGCGGGCAGCCGCTGACCGCTCAGGCTGAAGGCACAAGGTATTGTGGGAGGCGGGTTAGCGAGCCGATGAGGACTCCGTCACTGTCACCGTGTCGCATCCACTCGTGAGTCGCTGGGGACAGTCCCCCAGCCTAGCTCCTGTCCTGCGTCCCCAGGCTTGGAGCTGGGGGCGCCCAGATGGACCCTCTGGCCATGGGAGGGGTCACGGCAGGTGTGTCACCTGCAAGACCCCCCTCCACCCCAAAGCCTGGTCCGTCCCTCCATCGCCCCTGCGACCCCGAGGCCCGCCTGGGTCATCCATCTCCCGGGAGCGGGTTCGAGCTTCGAGAACTAATGTCCAGTCCATGGCTTGTTGGGGGGAGGGGGCGGGCGTGGGGCGGGCATGCTGGCCGGCCCCCCGGGTAGCACTTGCTGGGGGGCGGAAGGAAGCAGGAAACAGTCTGGGGTGTGCCCCACCCACCGGGGTGACCCCCTCAGGCCTGGCGTCTTTGGCTTGGGGCCACCCCCCATCCCGCGAGCAGTCACACCCATGTGCGTGCTGTTGGCCCCGAGTGACCTCTGCCGCGCCCAGGTCCAATCAGGACTCGCCGGACAGTGCTCCCAGCCGCCTGCCTGGCCTTCTCAGGCAAGGAGGGAGACTTGAGGCGGCCGGCCGGTCAGGCCCCCCTCAAGAAATACTCGGGGGGCAGCGGCGAAGAGTAGAGTGGCCTTTATGGTCAGTGCAGGGACGGGGCAGTCCTCCACGGAGCCTGCTCGCTGGGGTGGGCGCCGCGGGCGGGTCCCAGCTCCACCAGGAGCCTTGGGATCGGGTGGGGGGACCACAGCACCCCCCGTGCGCCTGGGGGCTGTCCTCTCGCTGGGCGTCCACCCTGGGCCTGGGGTGCTGGCCGGGCCGGTTCTAGCCCCCCGGACAGCTGCAGCCCAGAGGTGCCCTCCGCAGAGAACAACCTAGAACCCAGAGCCTGCGCCGCCGGGGCGCCCGGGGAGGACCGGGTCGGGGGGTGTAGCCGCTGGTCGAAGCTGAGGTATATTTGCGAGTGACCCCGACCCAGGCTGACCCCCCCGAGGGACAGCGTCCACGGCATCCCCTCCCCCCGCGGCGGCCACGGCGCAGGGCTATGGCTTGGCTGGCTCGGTCCTGCCGCGTGGGGCCGGGGAGGGGGCGGGCGGGCGGGCGGGCAGGCGGGGCGGGGGTCCCCGCCGTGCGCGCAGCAGCAGCGGAGCGAGGGGGGTGCGGCCCCCGCGAGGGCCCACGCGAGAGCATGCAGGGGGCAGGGCGCGCGGCTCTTAGCATCGGTCGTCCTCCTCCGTGTCGCTCAGCGCGTCCCCGGCCGGCCCGGGACCCCCACGCCGCCGCCGGCGGTAGTGGCCGTTCGGCATTTGCCAGCCGTGGCGCAACGGCGGCGCCGAGCCGATGGTGTTGGCGCGGCCCAGGCTGGTGGCCACGGCCGCCTCGAAGGTCAGCGTCTCCTCCTCGCCGCAGTCCGAGGCCTGCGTGTCCTCCTGGCCCGCCAGGTACGGCTCCGAGATGTAGCGCTGCGGCGAGGCGGGCGCGCCGGCCACCGCCGCCGCCTGCGGGGAGCCCTCCCGGCTGCCCTGCACCGAACTGTAGGAGAGGAGCGGCCGCGGCTTGGGGGGCACCGGGGGCAGCTGCCGCCGGCTGCCGCCGCGTCTTGGGGTGCTGGTGTCCGACACGGAAGGGATGGAGCTTTCGCTGAGGGAGCCGGTGCCCTGGGCGGAGGACAGGCCCGTTAGAAGAAGGCGTGGGAGCCCCCAACGCTCCTGGGGTGGACAGACCTCCCCCCTGACCATCCCGGGCTTCCAGCACTGGGGGGCTGTGGCCTTTCCAAGGTGGGGGTCCAGGGGACAGACATAGGAACGTCCTGGGGGTCCCTGATGCGCGCAGGAGTGGAGGGCGCATGTCCCGTCTTTGCGCGCGCACCTGTCAGCTGGGGGTGGCCCTCCCTGCCCTCGCCTCCCCCGCCTGATCATCCCGGGCTTCCGGCACTGGGGGGCTGTGGCCTTTCCAAGGTGGGGGTCCAGGGGATGAACACGGGAACGTCCTGGGGGTCCCTGATGCGCACAGGGGGTGGAAGGCGTGTGTCCCGGTCTTTGCGCACGCGTGCGCACCTGACGGCTAGGGGTGGCCTCCCTGCCCTCGCTGGGTGATCGCGAAGGCCGGTGCTCGGGCGAGTCCTCGTCGGGCTGGGCGCGCTCCTCCGAGTTACAGCGGGACACGTCGGGGGACAGCAGGTGCCGGCGCTCCTTGGAGCGGCCACGCTCCCGGCCAGCGCGGTGGCTCTCGGACTTGTGGCCTGCGGGCAGCGGAGGCGGGCGCTGGTCAGTGTCGTGCCCGGGGTGCCCTGTGCCCCTCTTGGCAGCGGGCGGGGGACGCGCTGGGGTGGTGACCAGCTCCTTGGATGACCTGACCAGCACTTGCAGATGGTGTCTGGGGGGCGCTCCTTGGGTGTGGCCCGGCGTGACCTGCGCAGGAGTGCGCCCGGGGTCACCTGCACCCACGTTGGCGGCAGCTGGGGGTGCACCCGCGGTGCCCAGCGTGGGCTGCTCAGCGCCTGCAGGCGGCATCTGGACGCATGTCGGGGATGTGTGCTCGGAATGCCCAGTGCAGGGGGCACTGGCTGGGGGGGGCGCTTCCAGGGTGCGCAGCGCGGGGGCCGGGCCGGGAGTGCCCAGCACGGGGAGCATTGGCTGGGGGCGCACCAGGGGTGCCCAGCGCGGGGGCGTTGGCGTTGGCCAGGGTGCCCAGTGCGGGGGGCAGCCCAGGGTGCCCAGCGCAGGGGGCGGCCCAGGGTGCCCAGCGCAGGGGGTGGGTCTGGGGTGCCCAGCGCTTAGGCATTGGCCGGGGGCGCGCCCAGGGTGCCCAGAGCGGGGTCGTTGGCTGGGGGCGCACCCTGGGTATCCCGTGCGGGGGCGTTGGCCGGGGTGCCCAGTGCAGGGGGCATTGGCTGGGGCCGCGCCCGAGGTGCCCAGCACCTGCAGACAGTGGCTGGGGGGCGCTCCCTGGGTTGCCAGTGCCGGGGGCGTGCCCGGGGTGCCCAGTGCAGGGGGCGTTTGCTGGGGGCGCGCCTGGGGTGCTCAGCGCCTGCGGAGAGCAGCTGGGGGGCGCTCCCTGGGTGACCAGTGCAGGGGGTGTGCGCGGGGGGCGTTGGCTTGGGGCGTTGGCCGGGGGCGCGCCCGGGGTGTCCAGCGCCTGCGGACAGTGACTGGGGGGCGCTCCCTGGGTGACCAGTGCGGGGCGCACGCGTGGGGGGCGTTGGCTGGGGGCGCGCCCGGGGTGCCCACCGTGGGGGGCGTTGGCCGGGGTGCCGCTCACCCGTGTCCGCGTGCAGCCGCTGCGCCGAGAGCCGCAGGGACGCGTGGTAGCTGCGACGCCGGGACTTGTAGGTGTTCTCGCTGCTGCGCTCCATGGAAAACTCCTCCAGCCAGGACGCGCCCGAGCGCTTGTCGCGGATGGTGGAGAAGGAGCGGCGCATCGGGCTGGAGTCCAGCACCTGCGGGCGCGGCGGTCAGCGCGTGGCGGCCCTGGGCCGGGGACACCGGCTTGCGACCCCCGTCCCCCCCCCAACTCCCCCCACCCAGGCCGGTTGCGCCCCCCGCATCCGTCAGAGGCTGACGCAGACCCACAGGACTCGTGTCTGTCTGGACGGGACGCGACACAGACGGACGAGAAGAGGGGCCGGGACACACACACGGGAGGGTGCGCGCGTTGGAGGGCCCCGGGGGGGCCGGTGCCGACCTGGCCGAGTCCCCGACTCACTCCGAACCTGTCCTGGTGCCCCTGGCCTGGACCCCAGTCCTCGCCCACGTCACACAGCCCGGGCCCCGCCCACCCAACCTGGCCCCGCCCCCAGCCTGGAACACACCCTTCCCCGACCACGCCCCCAGCAAAGACCACGCCCCCATCCCGGGCTCCCCCTCACCTGCTCCTCCATCTCAGCCCCAGCCCCCCCTGTGCTTTGCCCCCCTGTCCTAGCCCCCTGGCTTGGCTCACTCCCACCTCTCCTACCCCACCTTGTCCTTACCCACCTGTCCTCACCGCCTGTCACTTAGCCCGGACCCCGCCCACCCAGCCAGGGCCACGCCCCCACTCCCTGGCCACGCCCCCAGCCTGGGCTCGCCCTCACCTGCTCCTCCATCTCAGCCCCAGCCCCCCTGTCCTAGCCCCCTGGCTTGGCTCACTCCGACTTCTCCTAACTCACTCTCCTAGCCCACCTGGTCTTTAGCCACCTGTCCTAACCCACCTGTCCTCGCCCCACTGTCACCCAGCCCGGGACACACCCACCTTCCCCGACCACGCCCCCAGTAAGGCCACGCCCCCAGTAAGGCCACGCCCAAGTTCCTGGCCACGCCCATCCAACCCGGGCCACGCCCCCCAGCCTGGGCTCCCCCTCACCTGCTCCTCCAGCTCAGTCCCAGCCCCCCGTCCTGGCTCGCTCCGACCTCTCCTAACTCAGCTCTCCTAGCCCACCTTGTCCATACCCACCTGTCCTAACCTACCTGTCTTCGCCCTACTATCGCCCAGCCCGGGACACACCCACCCTTCCCTGACCACGCCCCAGTCCCTGGCCACGCCCCCGGTCCCTGGCCACGCCTCCCAGCTCAGGCTCCCCCTCCCCTGCTCCTTCAGCTCCAGTTCCCCTGTTCCTGCTCCCCTGTCCTGGTCCCCCTGTCCTCACCCCCTGGCTCGCTCACTCTGACCTGTCCCAGACCCCCGTCCTAACCCACCTGTCCTCGCCCCCCTGTCACTTAGCCCAGACCATGCCCACCCAGCCCTGGCCACGCCCAGTCCCTGGCCACGCCCCCAGTACCTTACCATGCCCCCAAGCCCGGGCTCCCCCTCACCTGCTCCTTCAGTTCCAGGCCTCCTGTCCCTGCCCTCCTGTCCTCGTTCCCCTGGCTAGCTCACTGTGACCTGTCGTAACCCACCTGTCTCTCTCCCATATCACCCAGCCCAGACCCCGCCCACCCAACCCTGGCCACGCCCAGTTCCAGCCACGCCCCAGCCCAGGCCACATCCCCAGTCCTGGCCATGCCCCCCAGCCCCCCTGTCCTGGCCCCCCTGGCTAGCTCACTCTGACCTGTCGTAACCCACCTGTCCTGGCCCCCCCCATATCACCCAGCCCAGACCCCGCCCACCCAACTCTGACCACGCCCAGTCCCAGCCACGCCCACAACCCCCTGGCCACGCCCCCAGTCCTAGCCACACCCCAGCCCAGGCCACATCCCCAGTCCCAGCCATGCCCCCCTGCTCCCCTGTCCTGGACCCCTGTCCTCGCCCACCGGCTCGCTCACTGCAGCCCGGGCGGCGTGGCGGTCGCGCGTTACCTGGGGACCCACGGTCAGGCGTGGCATAGAGGACGCCTTCCCGGATCCCGCCGGCTGCTGCGCGTCCGGAGGGAGGTGGCCGAGGGGACAGGGCTGCCCGCTGCCTAAGGCACTACCCGCGGGCTCCTGGAAGCAAACACAGCCACGCTGGGGGGGCTCGGCCTCACGCCCCGGCTGGCTCGGCGGCTCCATCCGCAGGACGGGTGGGGGGCGGGGGGCGGGGAGGGGGCACGCGGGGTGGACACACGCACACGGACACGGGCACCGACACCGGGACGGACACAGCCTCTGACGTGGGTGGGGCGTGCGGGCTGGCAGCAGGGCCCGGGGAGCGTCCGGCGGGCTGGGAGGGGGCGCGGACCCCCGCCCCGCCCCGCCGCGTGGCCCTCTGCGGGGTCCCTGCGCCCCGGCCCGGCCATTCACCAGAGCGTCCTCCTCCCGCAGCTGCCCGTCGTCGGCCGGCTCCATGCAGGCCAGCTGGAACAGCTCCTGCGGCGACAGGGGGCTGGCGGACACGTAGCCGCTCCTGCAGGGCAGAGCTGCGCTCAGCAGGGACGCTCGGGCTCCTCCCACAGTGCTCCCACGCCCTCGCGTCCTACAGGGACGCCCGAGACTGGGGCTGAGCTGCTCTGAGGCTCCCCCTCCCCCGGGGGCCCTGCATGGAACGTTCCAGAAGGTCTTGCCCCTCTGCACCACTCCCCAGCTTTGGGGATGATGCTGGCTCCCCGGAACCCCCAGCGCAGGTGGAGTTGGGCAGCCGTGGGGGTGGGGCACAGCCCTCCCGAGGCACTCACAGGCCGGGCCCCGGTTCCTGCTGCAGGTAGGGGAGGGTGCGGGCGTTGGCCACGATGTCCTGGGGCAGCGACGACGGCTCCATGCGCTGGAACATGGGCGCGTTTTTCTGGGAAAACGAGAAGTCGGGACTTGCACTGCGGGGCACACGCCCCCAGCCTGGAGCCACGCCCCCAGCACGAAACCACGCCCCCATCAAGGAGCCACGCCCAGCCCGAGGCCACGCCCCAACCTGGGACCATGCCCAAGTGCAGGGCCACGTCCTCAGCCCGGAGCCACGCTCCCAACCGGGCCTCACCCCTAGAGAGGGGCCACGCCCATAGCGTGGGGTGACACACCCAACCCAGAGCCACGCCCCCAGCACGGGCCAAGCCCCCATTCCAAGCCACCCTCCCAACTCAGGGAAATACAACCCAGACAGGGAAAAACAGCCCCCAGCCTGGGGCCACGCCTGCAGCCTCAGGCCACGCCCCAGTCCGAGCCACAGACCCAGCAACAGCCACGCCCCCAGCATGGGCCACGCCCCCAGCATGAGCCAAGACCACAACCCCCAGCTCAGGCCACCCCCCCCCAGCCGTCCTCCCAACCCAGAGAAAGACGCCCAGCCTCAGGCCACGCCCCCAGCCCAGGCCACACACCCAGCATGAGCCACGCCCCCAGCCCCAGCCCCCCTCCCAACCCAGAGAAACACGCCCAGCCTCAGACCACGCCCCCAGGCCACACACCCAGCATGAGCCATGCCCCCATCCTGGGCCACACCCCCAGCCCAGGCTACGCCCCCAGCCCCCCTCCAACCCAGAGAAACACGCACAGCCTCGGGCCACGCCCCCAGCTCCAGCCACCCTCCCAGAGAAACACACCCAGCCTCAGGCCACGCCCCCAGCCTAGGACAGACACCCAATCCGGGCCATGCCCCCAGCCCAGGCCACGCCCCCAGCCCAGGCCACATACCCAGCATGAGCCACGCCCACAGCACGGGCCACACCCCTAGACCACGCCACGCCCCCAGCCACCCTCCCAAACCAGAGAAACACGTCTAGCCTCAGGCCATGCCGCAGCCCGGGCCACGCCCCCAGCCCGGGCCACGCCCCCCAGCCCGGTCCACATACCCAGCATGAGCCACACCCACAGCACGGGCCACACCCCTAGATCAGGCCACGCCCCCAGCCTCAGCCACCCTCCCAACCCAGAGAAACACGCCCAGCCTCAGGCCACGCCCCCAGCCCAGGCCACAGACCCAGCATGAGCCACGCCCACAGCACGGGCCACACCCCTAGACCAGGCCACGCCCCCAGCCCAGGCCACACACACCCAGCCCCGGGCCACGCCCCCAGTCCGGGCCACGCCCCCACCCGGGCCACGCCCCCAGCCCGGGCTCCCCCTCACCTGCTCCTCCAGCTCCAGCTGCCGCTTCTTGACCTTGCTCTGCTTGTAGTAATCCATGATCATCATAGCCGCGTAGATCTTGCCCACGGTCAGGTCGGACGCTGCCCCCGCGCGCGCACACACACACATACACACACACACAGAGCCCACCGTGAGCGCGGCCTCCAGACCCAGGCCCCGCCCGGGCCCCGCCACGCGCGCGCAACCCCCACCTTTTGGCATGGGTACCAGGAGGTCCAGCATCTTCTGGGACAGGTTGGGCCAGATGGCCAGCGTCTCCTTCTGCAGTTCCGAGTCCAGCTGCTGCCGGTCAGCGCCGCCTGTGGAGATGCAGCCGGCGAGAGGCCCTGAGCGGCCACCCGGCGGCCACTGGTCTTGGAAAGGACCTTGCAGGGGGCAGAGGGCTGGCCGCTTAGCCCCTGCTTCCTCTCCTGGGGTGGGGGACCCAGGATGCTCAGGCACCACAGGGGTGCAGGGACAGAGCCCCAGCCCTCGAGGACTGCAGGGGGCACCTGGGGGGGGGGAGAGGGACGCGACTTGCCAGGCCCGAGCCCAGCCAGGACCCAGGCAGGGCGCACGCGTGTCCCCACCGCACCTTTGGCGATCTTGATGTCCAGCGCGGTGCGGATGAGCGCCATGAGTGTGGACGTGAAGTGTACCGTCATGTCCTCGGCCACGGGCATGTTCATGAGCACCAGCCTCTGCGTGAGAGACACCACAGCGGCAGCGGGAGACAGCCCCGGGGAGACCGCGGTCAGCGCGCAGGCGGCCGGCCCGGGACCCCCGCAGCCCCAGGACACCCCCGTCCGGCCGGGCTCGGCGCGCCCCGTGGAGGAGCCCGGCACGGGGGGAGGGGCGGGGAACATGCACTTCCAGCGTGCCCACAGGGGGTGTTGCAGGGACGTGCATGCAGGCGGGGCCAGTGCCAGGGAGCAGGTGCAGGGAAGGGGGGTGAGTGGGGTGGGTGGGCTGCAGCCCCGCCCAGGGAGGTGCAAGGGGGAACGGCCAGATCCTTTGCAGAGAGTAGCCCAGTGCTCGCACGCACCCCTGGGACCCCGGGAGTGGCCGTGAGTGGCCACGCGCTTGTGGGGGCTACTTAGGGAGCCCTTGGGGGCTTCTTAGGGGGACCGCCGTAAAGAGATGTTCTCTGGAGCCCGGGAGTTGTGGGGGGGCTCACAGCGCCCCGCCAGCTGCCCCCCTGCGCGCTGGAGGGTGGGGGTCCGGGACGAAGGGGGCGTCTACCTTGTAGGCCACCTTGGAGGGGCACCGTTTGCCGAGGCCCAGCGGGGGCGACATGAGTGTCAGCATCTCGTACATCTCAGTGTAATGGATGCGGCCGCTGCGGGCGGGCGGGCAGGGGGGCGCGGCGCGGGGACGGGGCGGGGGCGGGCGGGCACCCCCAGGGCCCCCCGGGAGGACACACGACACACAGGAGAAGAACAGGACATTGTTAATCCAAGCAGGGGCGTGCGGCAAGGCCCTGGGTTTATCACGACCAGGCCCCGGGCGCGATAAACCGGATCCACGGGCCTCGGGCCGGCGGGAGGCCGTGATCCCGGGGGGATGCGGGAGGGTCGCGGAGTGGAAGGAGACCGAGCAGAGGCCAGCGTCCCCCCAAGGCCCGGGCGCGGGGGCTGAGCCCACGGGACCCCCACCCCCCGGCCGCCTGGTCCCTGTTCTGAGTCTTCCCCACGCCGGGTGGCGGCTTCTAGAAGATAGAGCAGGACCAGGACGCAGGCCCAAAGGAGGGCGGCACCCAGGAGAGGCGGGTGTGTGGGGCTGTGTGTGTGTATGGGGGTCAGCGTGTGGGGGGCGGTCAGTGTGTGGGGCTCAGTGTGTGTATGGGGGATCAGTGTGGGGGGGTCAGTCTGTGTGCATGGGGCTCAGTGTGTGTGGGGGGGGGTCAGTGTGTATGAGACTCAGTGTGTGTATGGGGCTCAGTGTGTGTATGGGTGGTTGGTGTGTGTGGGTCAGTGTGTATATATGGGGGTCAGTGTGTGTGTGTGGGGTCAGTGTGTGTGCATGGGTGGCTGGTGTGTGTGTGTGGGTCAGTGTGTGTGTGGGGCTCAGTGTGTGTGGGGGGGAGAGTGTGTGTGTATGGGTGGTTGGTGTGTGTGTGTGGCTCTGTGTGTATGGGGCTCAGTGTGTGTGGGGGTCAGTGTGTGTGTGCATGTGGGGTTTGTGTATGGGGGTCAGTGTGTAGGTGTGTCAGTATGGGTGTGTGTCAGTGTCCATGTGTCTGGGGGCGCGGCTCTCACACCCCCAGGGAGGGCACACCCGCCCTGTCCCCGGGCGTCCCCGTCACACCCGGCCGCCCTGCCTGGCGCCCCTGCTCTGGCCGCAGCTGGGGGCGGGGTCCGGAGACCCGCAGCGTGGGAGGGGGGAGGGCTGGGCCTCTTTCAACTCGGGTGGCATTAGCAGGAAGGTGGGGGGCGCGGGTGCCGGTGCCCCATGCCGGGCCGCGGGCCGGGCCGACCTTGCAGGCCACCCTGTGTGGGCAGTTCTCTCCCAGGCCCAGCGGCGGCGAGATGACCCGCACGACCCGGTACATGTCCTTGTAGGGGATCCTGCCGCTGCAACGGAAGCACAGGGTCACGCCGCGCCCCTGCGTGTCGGCGAGGCCCTCCCGGGGCGCCGCCAGCCAGGATCCCGGGTGTCCGTGTTGCTGGTGGGCGGGCCGGGGTGTCCTTGGCAGTGGACGGGCGTCGGCAGGGGCCCGGGCAGCCCACACCTGTCCCTCGAGGGGCGCCTTCCACTTCCTCCTGGGAGGAGGGTGAACGGGGGCCCTCCCTGGCCCGGGTCTGGGGGGTCTGCAGGTGGGTGTCCTTTGGAGGGGGTCCCCCGGCGAGACCACCCCCTTCTGGAGGCACCAGAACAGTGGGGGCCCATCCAGCACTGTCACCAGCCAGGGGGACACTGGGGTCCCCCCCAGAACAGCCTCGTGGGTGAAGGGGGCAGAGGGTCCCCGGGCATGGGTCGGGAAGCAGAGTCCAGCTGTCCTGCCCACGCCAGGCCCATCCCCCCAAGCTGCAGCCTCTGACATGGTGGCAGCAGCCAAACCCACTCTGAGACCCCTGAGAGTGACAGGCGGTGACCCCCAGGCTGGGCACAACTTTCTTTTCCTTTTTTTTATTCTTTTTTTTTTTGCTTTTTGGGTCCCACCCGATGGCGATGCTCAGGGCTGACTCCTGGCTCTGCACTCCTCCTGGTGGTGCTCGGGGGACCCAATGGGATGCTGGGAATCGAACCCAGGCCAACGCCCTCCCCGCTGTGCTATTGCTCCAGCCCCTATGGATGGATCAGATATTGATCAAGGTGCTGAACTGGGTGATGGACCCAATATTATTATTTTGCTTCTTGGGTCCCACCTGGCGATGCTCAGGGCTGACTCCTGGCTCTGCGCTCAGGAATCACTCCTGGCGGTGCTCGGGGGACCGAACCCGGGTCGGCCACATGCCAGGCAGATGCTCTCCCCGCTGTGCTCTCACTCCAACCCTTCACTCCATTTTTTGGGCCACACCCGGCAATGCTCAGGGGGTTACTCAGGAATCACTCCTGGTGGGCTCGGAGGGGCCCTATGGGTACCGGGCAAACGCCCTCCCTGCTGTGCTCTCACTCTGCTCTGGACCCCAAGATTGTTTTCCTCCCGTAAGAGAGCCCGTGGTGTATTCGATATGCAAAAAAAAAAAAATGGTCACCATAACGGGTCTCATTCCCCTTACTCTGGGAGAGCCTCAAATATGGCAGCGTTGGGAAGGACAAGTAAGGAGAGGCTGCTACAATCTCAGGGCTGGGACAAAGGAGACGTGACTGGCGTCCACTTAAGCAAATCGATGAACAACGGGATGACGGTGATACAGTGAAGTTCCCCCGGAACACCCACTTCCTCTCTCCTGACAGGGAGTCCCACCTGCAGCCAGTCAGCTCTGGTGACGAGGGTCTGACAAGCAGAGCTGCTTCTGCCATGTGCACCCCAGCTCCGGTGGGAGAGAGGAGCGGGTGGTCACACACGGTCAGCGTGGGAGACCCCGGCGTCTCCCACCCCCACCCACCACCACCACCGCCCTCTGCCCCCGCCCCCCACGCACCAGGCAGCTCGGTCATACTCGGCCCAGACGCGGACGAACTCATCCAGGTGGTGTGGCCCCAGGATGGACGAGTCCCGTGTCAGGTACTCGAAGTTGTCCATGATGACGGCCACAAACAGGTTGAGCATCTAGGGGTTGGGGATTGGGGGTGACCGGAAGGTTTAGCGTCCGCTGGGGAGGTGGGGGGAGAATCCTCCCCCACCCGTGGGGGTCCTGCCCCCGAGCTGCTCACCAGGAAGGAGCAGAAGAAGATGAAGGACACGAAGTAGACATAGGCCAGGTCGGTGCCGCAGCGCTCCTGGCCTGGGGGTCCCGCAGGGGCGCTGGTGTCCGGCTCACAGCCCTTCTCACCCAGGCACGACAGCATGATCTCCTGCCACGCCTCGCCCGTGGCGCTCCTGACCCGCCCCCCACACACACACACCACGCAGGTCAGTGGGAGAGGCCCGAGCAGGTGGCCAGGACCCTGCCCCCTCCCTGAGCCGACCCTCCCCTGGGCGTCACCTGAACAGCAGCATGAGGGACCCGAAGAAACTCCGGAAGTTGTTGTGGCGGTTGATGTGACTTTCCTCGTCCAGTTTGATGTTCCCGAAAACCTGGGGGGGACGCAGGTGAGGCATTCATGGGGGATGACAGGGGGGGCCTGGTTTTTTGTTTTTGCTTTTTGGGTCCCACCTAGTGATGCTCAGGGCTGACTCCCGGCTCTGCGCTCAGGAATCACTCCTGGCAGTGCTCGGGGGACCCTGTGGGATGCCGGGGATCGAACCCGGGTCGGCCACGTGCCACGCAAACACCCTCCCTGCTATGCTATCACTCCAGCCCCCAGGGGACCCGTTAACCCCCCCCCCCAACCCTGCCCTGCTGCAGAGGGCGTCAGTCTGAACCGAGAGAGGGCTGGGGGTCAGAGGTCGAGGCGAGGGGGGTCGCCAACAGCTCGGAGCAGGATAGGAAATGCATCTGGCAGGTCCTGGAACTGGGGGCCCGCTGGGGGCCGGCAGGTTTCAGGTCCATGCCGGATACCACGCAGGGTTCCAGAGTGCCACCAGGACTGACTCCCCCCCCGCCCGTCAACACACACTGACGTTCTAAAATAATGAAGGGGGCCAGAGCGATAGCACAGTGGGAAGGGCATTTGCCTTGCACGCGGCCGACCCGGGTTCGATCGCCGGCATCCCATAGGGTCCCCCGAGCACCACCAGGACTGACTCCTGAGTGCAGAACCAGGAGGAACCCCTGTGCATCGCCAAGTGAGGAACAACCTCCAACCAAATAAATAATAAACAACAATAGTTTAAAAATAAAATAGGGACTGGAGCGATAACACAGCGGGGAGGGCGTTTGCTTTGCACGTGGCCGACCCGGGTTCGACCCCCGGCATCCCATAGGGTCCCCCGAGCACCGCCAGGAGTGATTTCTGAGTGCAGAGCCGGGAGTCAGCCCTGAGCATCACCGGGTGGGACCCCAAAAGTCAAAAAAATAATGAAGGAGTCGGGCCGCAGAGACCTTTAGGCCCCCGCTGAGTGTGCTGAGAAAGGGCCGGGTAGCTGAGTGGGTAGCGAGGGACTTAGCACCAGCCCTTAGCACCCACCCCTCCCAACTCACCTGCATGCCGATGATGGCGTAGATGAAGAAGAGCATGGCGATGAGGAGGCAGACATAGGGCAGGGCCTGTGGGACAGACAGACGGACAGACAGGCCTGAGCCCCGTGCAGGCCCTGGGCCCTCCCCGCCCCAAGACCACGGGCAATTCGCTCATCTAAACGGCGCCCCCTGCCCGGAAGAGACTCACCCCGGCAGCCTTGGGCGCCCGAACCTGGCAGGGCCCCTCCCCGGGCTAAGCCGCGGGGGACCCCCACAAGACCCCAATCCGTGCTCAGGCGTGGGAACAGGATTGAAGCCCTGAGCGGGGTCTCGGGTCTGGCTCTTAGGGGGGGTCCCATGCGCAGAGGGCAACCTTTCCTGCGAGCTCGCCCAGCAGTGGGGAGCACCTGGGCCATTCTGATGGGGCTCATTCACAGTGCTCAGGGCCATGGGGTGCTGGGGCTCGAACCCGGGTCCAGGAGACCATGGGATCGGGGGTTGGGGGCTGGACCCTGAGGACCATAGGATGTTTATGCAAGTGGAAGGACCCCGAGGACCGCAGGCCACTCGCGTGGGTGGACAGGGCTGGGGATAGACCCTGAGAACCACAGGCCATTTGCACGGGTGGCCGGGGACGACCCCAGGACCTTGAAGGACTGCACGAAGGTCCAGAGCAGGATGCGGATGGTGTAGCCTTGGCGCAGAAGTTTGATGAGCCGCGCAGCCCGGAAGAGCTTCAGGAAGCTCATGTTGAAGCCGCTCGTGTTCACCAGCTGTGGGGGGTGGGGGGGACACGTCAGGATGCCCCCCCGGCTGCATCCAGCTGCCACGCTGACCCCCCACCCCTGCGTCCTGCCCGATTCCCAGGCAGATGCCCCAGGGACAGTTCCGGCCACTCCACGCGTCCCCCGACACCCAGACGCCCACGGGTGACGGCACCTTGAGCCCAGGGCCGAGTGCTCTGGGGAACAGGGTGGGGGGTTGGGGCTGACGTCTCGTGCCCCCCTAAGTGGGGGTGGCAGGAACTGCAGGACCAGGGGGGGCTTCTGCCGGCCAGCAGGTAGGCGGGGCCCTCGCATCCCCAACCTAGGTGGGGGTCCCAGCCAGGGGCCCCGGGGCCCACCTTGCTGTCGGTGAGGACGATCTCCGTGATGCTGCCGACGACCGTGATGAAGTCGAAGATGTTCCAGGTGTCGCGGAAATAGTTCTGAGCAGGGGACGGGGGACGCGGTTCTTACCCGCCCGCTCCGTCCCGGCTCGGCCTAACACTGACCGAAAACGGCCCTCGCTGACCGGAAACGCCAGCCCCCGGGGGCCAGGAACGGTTCGCCCGAGATGCACACACACACACCCACACGTGCTCGTATTCCACTCACGCGTATACATTCCACACGCACACTCCACACATATACACGCATACACACTCATATACATTCCACATGTACACGCTTGTCCACGTGTACACACATATACACGCACACTCACATACATGCTCCACTCATGTACATTCCACATGTATGTCTGTCCACGTGCACACCCACATGTACACGCTTGTCCACGTGTACACACATATACATTCCACATGTACACGCTTGTCCACGTGTACGCACACATACACGCATGTACACTCCATGCACTCATATACATCCCACGTGTACACGCTCGTCCACGTGTACACACAATACACACTCACGTACGTGCTCCACGCATACTCACATACATTCCACATGCACACACTTGTCCACGTGTACAACACATATACACACATACACAGTCATGTACACACTCCACTCACACATGCACACCCTCGTATACACACATTTCACTCACATGCACACTTTCATACTCCACTCATACATTCCACATGCACAAGCTTATTCACGTGTACACACTCCACACAAACACCATATACACACATGCACACTGACATACGTGCTCCACTCACACTCACATGCGTCCCACATGCACACGCTTATCCATGTCTACGCACTCCACGCACACATGCATGCACACATATTCCACTCACACACTCACGGTACGCTCACACACACACACACATACGCCCACGCTCATATCCTCTTGCACACACACAACTCTCATACACTCACATTTGCGTAACCCCCCTCCAGTACACATTCCTATACACCCCACTCACACTCACACAGTGTCACACCCCGCACACACAGACACAGCCCTGGCTTGGCTTATGGCACAGCAACGGGGCAGGAGACCGTCTCCCTGGGGCCCCCCACCCGCCCCCAGCTGTGCCCCTAGGAAAGCCGCCTTCAGGGTTTGCCTCCTCCCTGGCTGCGTTTTTCCACACACGGACCCGTCTCCTCTCCCCGCCCACCAACCCCGCCATGCACCCAGTCTCCCAGGGGGCCCTTCCGAACCTGTGTGCCACCCCCCCCACATACCCACATACACACACACACACACACACACACACACACACACACACACACACAGGGCCCAGACGCACCAAGAAGCCGAAGGCGATGACCTTGAGGACGCACTCCAGGGAGAAGACCATGGTGAAGGCGATGTTCAGGTACTTGAGGGCCAGCTCGTAGGTGCAGGGGGCCGAGTAGTACTGGGGGGACGGCCCCAGGCCCCGTCAGGGCTGCGGGCTGCCCGAGCGCCCCGTGCGCACCCCCCAACGCCTCCCCCAACCCCCCGCCCCGGCCCCACCTTCATCATGAGCACGACCGTGTTGAGGGCGATCATGGCCATGATCGTGTACTCGAAGGACGGCGACACCACGAACTGCCACACGCGGTACTGGAAGGTGTGGCGGTTCTGCGGCATGTGGCGGGTGAGCGGCTTGGCGCTGATGGCGAAGTCGATGCAGGCCCGCTGCGGGGAGCACGGGCCGTCAGCGGGGGCTGCGTGTGCGGGGAGGGGCGCGTTTGGGGGGCTGCGGAGCCGGGCGCCGCCCCCCCGCCCCGCCCCGCCCCCGCCCCCGCCCACCTCGTTCTTCTCCAAGCTGCACTCCTCCATCATCTTGTCCCCCTGCTCCTGGAAGGTGATGATGATGAGGGCCACGAAGATGTTGACGAAGAAGAAGGGGAAGACGACGAAGTAGACGACGTAGAAGATGGACATCTCCATGCGGTTGCTGCGGCTCGGCCCGCGGTCCTCCTCCGTGACGTCCACCGAGTGCTGGAGGACCCTGCGGACGGGTGCCGGTGAGCGCCCCGGGGCCGCCCTAGTGGGGGGATGCACCGTCCCTGTCCCGGTCACTCACTGCAGCCAGCCCTCCCTGTGTCCCGGTCACTGTGACCAGACCTTCCTGTGTCCCGGTCATTCACTGTAGCCAGCCCTCCCCATGTGCTGGTCACTCACTGCGGCCAGCCCTCCCCGTGTCCTGGTCACTGTGACCAGACCTTCCTGCACCCCAGTCACTCACTGCGACCAGCCCTCCCATGTCCCGGTCACTCACTGCGGCCAGCCCTCCCCGTGTCCTGGTCACTGTGACCAGACCTTCCTGTGTCCCGGTCATTCACTGTAGCCAGCCCTCCCCATGTGCTGGTCACTCACTGCGGCCAGCCCTCCCCGTGTCCTGGTCACTGTGACCAGACCTTCCTGTGTCCCGGTCATTCACTGTAGCCAGCCCTCCCCATGTGCTGGTCACTCACTGCGGCCAGCCCTCCCCGTGTCCTGGTCACTGTGACCAGACCTTCCTGTGTCCCGGTCATTCACTGTAGCCAGCCCTCCCCATGTGCTGGTCACTCACTGCGGCCAGCCCTCCCCGTGTCCTGGTCACTGTGACCAGACCTTCCTGCACCCCAGTCACTCACTGCGACCAGCCCTCCCATGTCCCGGTCACTCACTGCGGCCAGCCCTCCCCGTGTCCTGGTCACTGTGACCAGACCTTCCTGCACCCCAGTCACTCACTGCGACCAGCCCTCCCATGTCCCGGTCACTCACTGCGGCCAGCCCTCCCCGTGTCCCGGTCACTGTGACCAGACCTTCCTGTGTCCCGGTCATTCACTGTAGCCAGCCCTCCCCATGTGCTGGTCACTCACTGCGGCCAGCCCACCCCGTGTCCCGGTCACTGTGACCAGAGCTTCCTGCGTCCCAGTCACTCACTGTGGCCAGCCCTCCCTGTGTGCTGGTCACTCACTGCGGCCAGCCCTCCCGTGTCCTGGTCACTGTGGCCAGCCCTCCCCGTGTCCTGGTCACTGTGACCAGACCTTCCCGAGTCCCAGTCACTCACTGCGCCAGCTCTCCCTGTGTCCGGGTCATTATGACCAGAGCTTCCTGTGTCCTGGTCACTCACTATGGCCAGCCCTCCCGATGTCCTGGTCGCTCACTGCAGCCAGCCCTCCCCGTGTCCTGGTCACTATGACCAGAGCTTCCTGTGTCCCGGTCACTCACTATGGCCAGCCCTCCCGATGTCCTGGTCACTCACTGCAGCCAGCCCTCCTGTGTCCCGGTCACTGCGGCCAGCCCTCCCCATGTCCTGGTCAACTGTGACCAGACCTTCCTGCGTCCCGGTCACTCACTGTGGCCAGCCCTCCCCCGTGGACACGGTGAAGAGCGTCAGCAGCGCCCAGACGATGTTGTCGTAGTGGAAGTCATGTCGCTTCCACTCGCGGCCCTTCACCTCCATCTTGTTCTTCTCGTGGTCCACGTAGTTCCCTCTGGAAGGTGGGCAGGTGGGGGTGCGCCCTCCGCTGCCCAGGGATGTGGGGGTGGCTGGGGGCAGCGTGGGAGGTGGTGTGACCCCCAGGGGCGGGTGTGGCCACGTGTGGGTCACGGGAATGAATGGACCACAGGGCGGGTACAGGTCGGAGCTGCAGTGGGAGGGAGGGAGGTGTGTGTGGGGTCACATCACTGCTTTGGCATATTCTGGGGAGGGGTCTCTTCCCTTCCCAAACAGTGCTCAGGGGGCCTGGGGTGGGCGCTCCTGGAGAGCCTCAGCCTCGTGGCCAGATGGTTGGGCCCTGCCAGGCTGTGGACCACCAGGGTTCATGCCATGGCCACAGGGACACACAGGCCCCCAACACACACTGACATTCCAAAATAATGAAGGGGGCCGGAGAGACAGCACAGCGGGGAGGGCGTTGGCCTGGCACACGGCTGACCCGGGTTCGATCCCCGGCATCCCACAGGGTCCCCCTGAGCACCGCCAGGAGTGATTCCTGAGTGCAGAGCCAGGGGTCAGCGCTGAGCACTGCTGGGTGTGGGCCAAAGGAATAGTATGCGGGAGAGAAAAAAGAGAGAGCACGAGGGCGAGAGTAGGCAGGTAGGCGCTGCGGGCTCACATGCACTCCTTCTCCGTGTCCTTGGAGCTGTCTGTGCAGTAGAAGAACTTGCCCTTGAACAGCTGCACGGCGATGACGGCGAAGATGAACATGAAGAGCTTGTAGACGATGAGGATGTTGAAGACGTTCTTCAGGGACGTGACCACGCAGTCGAACACCGCCTGGAGGGGAGGGGAAGGGCCCAGATGGGGGCTGGGGGTCACCGTGGCCCACCCAGGGCTTGTCCAGAGGACATGGCCAAGACCGGTGGGCGGATTTTGCCTGGGGGTGTGGCCACCCAGGGCAGGAGTTGCCTGAATGGGCGTGGCCAGGACAGTGGGCGTGGCCGTTACCCGTGGGCGTGGCCTTCCAGAGGGGCGGGGCCACGCCCCAGCTGGTGGTAATGTGAACCCCTGCCCACTCTCCCGGCCCTAAGTGCAGCTGCCCCTGCAGAAAGGGACCTTTGCTGTCCCGTCCCAGTGAGGGGAGAGGCCCCGACTTAACTTTGGGGGCTCAGCCCCCCGCCCCCCACGCCAGTGCCCTCCAGCTGCCCAAAGCCTTGGGGTCCCCTGTCCTGTGTGTTTCAGTGCATGCGCCTTGCCACGGCTCTACCTTGCACACCCCTCCCACAATTTTTTTATTTTTTCAGTAAAAGCAAAACAGATTTCAGTATCACGTGACAAGAACAGGGCACCTCACTGAGCCCATCTGGGATTATGTGGTTGGGCAGAAGGGCGGGGCTTGCCCCGAAGGGCGTGGCCAGGGCCTATGGGCGGGGCTTGCCCAGAAAGGCGTGGTTAGAACCTATGGGCGGGGCTTGCCCAGAAGGGCGTGGCCAGGGCCTGTGAATGGGGCTTTTCCCGGAGGGGCGTGGCCAGAACCTCTGGACTAGGCTTGCCCGGAGGGGCGGGGCTTACACAGAGGGCGTGGCCAGAGCGTGTACGGAGGGACATGCCAAGACCGGTGGGCGGGGCTTGCCTGGGGGCGTGGCCACCCATGGGCAGGATTTGGTTGGATGGGTGTGGCCAGAGCTATGGGAGGGGCTTACCCAGAGGGACAAGGCCAGGACCAGTGGGCGGGGTTTTGCCTGTGGGCGTGGCCAGCACCACCGGCAAAGAATTTGCCTGGGTGGGCGTGGTCAGGTCCAGTGGGCGGGGATTTCCCAGAGGGGCGTGGCCTGCCCGGGGCAGGGGCTCACCTTGAGCTTGGGCAGCCGCTTGATGGTCTTGAGCGGCCGCAGCACCCGGAGCACCCGAAGGGACTTGATGGTCTTGATGTCACGGGCCTTGTTGGTGCTGCGGGAGGGTCCCCGGGCATGGCGGGCGGAGAGACAACAGGAACACTGGCACCAGGGGTCGGGCCGGGGTCCCCCCAGAGTGTGCACCCAGGACCCCTCTCTGCACGACCCCACTCCGGGACCCTGGCCCGGCTCCCACTCGGGCTGGCACCTTGGAGAGCGCGGGGCAGGGCCCGCTGCAAAGGCGGTGTGTGGGGGGGACACACCTCAGGGGCAGGAGGCCGGTGCTGGCCACTCCCTGCACCCTGCCCCACTGACCTCCCAGGACCTGCGCCTGGGCCAGGTACTCGCAGGGGCTGCTCTGGCGGCCTGCCCCCCGCCCCTAGGGAACCCCAAATCCTCAGGTTTCACCTCATGCATCTCATCCTGAGCTCTTTCCCCACCAAAATGCCCCCGAGACCCCCGGGGGGTGGCTAGGAGACCCCCTCTTGGAGCTCCCTGCTCCCTGGCCAACCCCCAAAGTCACAGAGATATTTACCCCAGAGCGCTCCTGAGGGTCCGGAGGAGAGCAGGAGAGAAACAGAGAGAAGCGATGGGGAGGGGGGCGGGGAGGTTGGGGACACGGGAACAGGGACAAAAGGTGACCCTCAGCCCCCCCAACACACACACACACACACACACACACACACACACACCAGCGGGGCTGAGTCTCTGGGAACCCAGCTGACGCCAGGCTCTGGTCACTTCCCTCCTGCCCCCGGGGAACTCAGCCAACCCCAACTTCTGCTCCGGTCACTTCCCTCCTCCCCGATCTCGCGAGGACGCTGAGCAGGAGAAATCAACCTGCCCAGTCCCACAGAGGGGCCACTGAGGCAGGGACTGATTTCTCTGAGCAAGGGGCTGGTGGCCATTTGGACGGGTTCTTGGACATCTCCAAGGGCCCCGGACAACACCTGTCCCCCCACCTGTCTCCTGGCCCATCTGGCCACCTCTCCATCCACCTCACAACACCGGGAGGTGTATGTGTGTGTGTGTGGGGGGGGGGGAATCCTACACCAAGCCATCTGGGTAACCCAGAACGTGGCCACCTGGCCACTGGCCACGGCAGACTGGCCAGCTTGGAGGAACTTGACGCTGGGGGCAGAACATAGTGAAAAGAGGGTGAAGGGGAAGGGTCCCCCAGATGGGGCTTAGCCACACCCCTGCACTCAGGCTGTCCGGTCACAGGCCCTGGGATCCGCTGACCAACAGGGAAACTGAGGCCCGTGCCAGTTCCCGCCTCATGAAAGGACAGCTCTGGGACAGGGCCTGGCTTCTCAGCTGTGGGCAGTGACCCTGTGCCTCCCCCATCTGCCTGACATTTGGGGGGTGAAGACCCACCGCCAGGGTTGAGGTTTGAGGAAGGCACCCTGGAAATGCTGCACCCAACGATATTCAGGGGTGTCATGGTTCTGGGGATCAGAGCTGGGTGGGGTACATGTGGCCAGACCCCGTACTAGCTCCCAGGCCTCTTCCAACTTTTATTTTTCTTTTTGGGTCACACCCGGTGATGTTCAGTGGTTCTTCCTGGCTCTGCACACAGGAAGTACTCCTGGCGGTGCTTGGGGAACCCTATGGGATACCGGGAATCGAACCCGGGTCGGCTGTGTGCAAGGCAAATGCCCTCCTTACTGTTTTATCGCTCTGGCCCCTACCTCTTCCAACTTTGAAACATGTCACATGCCCTTTGTCCCACAGATGTGAGACTCTGGTAACTCTGGAAACGATGCAAGCTCAAGGCTGCCTCAGTTTCCACTCCAGGTGCCGACAGAGGTGATATGGGGCTGGGGGGCGGGAGAGGGGGGGTCGAGGCCTCACACCCCAACACGGAGAAGTGTCTCTCACACACCCGAGATGGGGGTCTTGGTGGGGACGGAGCTGACACGCACGCCAGCGCGCTTCTGGCTGGGGGTGACCTGGTCACACATGAGAGTGACCAGCCCAGGCCCATGGGAAGGCAGACTCGGCCCGGCTCGGCCCACGGGGGGAAGAATCTCTAAGGAAAGAAGGGGGACCCCATCTCTTATATCACAGTTCATATGGCCATGGCGGTATCTGGACTTGCAATGACCAAACGGTCTGTTCAAACCCCACTGAGCTCACTGGGCATCTGAGGGTCTCTGTGCTCTGTGGCACCCCCAATGCCTCTGACCTTCCTAAGGATGGGGGTGGGGGTCTTCCTTAGAGCCCCACTCCCCTTCACCTTCAAAGGGGGGCAGTGTCTCAAGCACAGAACCAGGCGGACCAGGCCGGACTCCCCCAAGAGCCCAAAGCCGGTGAACCAACTGGCAGGAATGAAGGAACCTGATCATTCCACAGCCTGCAAAGAGTATTTTTGTTTTGTTTTTAATTTTGGGGTCCACCCGGTGATGCTCAGGGCTGACTCCTGGCTCTGCACTCAGGAATCACTCTTGGCGGTACTCGGGGGACCCTATGGGATGCCGGGGATCGAACCCGGGTCAGACGTGTGCCAGGCCAACGCCTGCTGGGACAACACTCCAGGGAGGCTCAGACATTCAGGCAAACACCAGCATTTCGGGAAATTTCCTTTCAAACCACATCAAGCAGGAGGGGTGGGGTGGGGCGCCCGTGACCCTAAGCAGGAGGGCGGGGTGGGGGGGCACAAGGAGCCAGGCCAGCTCAGAGACAGGTGTGGGCACTCAGGGTCCCTTCCAGGGGCCCGGGAGGCCGGCGAGATGGGCCCGAGGGACTCAGACACGACCAGGCTCGACTTACGCCAACGCGAAGGCCACCAAGGCGCCAACCACCACCACGAAGTCCAGAATGTTCCACAGGTCCCGGAAGTAAGAGCCATCCTGCAGAATCAGGCCCTGGTCGATCATCTGGGGGGGGGGGGGGGGCGGAGAATGCAAGGTCTCAGGTCAGTCAATGCCCAGGCAGGGGTGGGGGAGGGGTTGGGGAAGGGAGGAGGCGGGTGGGGGGAGGGGGGCTCGGAGCACCGGAAATAGCCCACAGTGCATGGAACCAGGTAGAGATGGGGCCGGAAGGGGCCAGTCAGGTCGCGGCTCGGGGTCCAGGAAGTCCCAGAAGCAGGGCCCCTTCTCACTCACTGTGGCTTGCCCATGGGGTCCTGGTTCCCCCTCGGGTTCTCCCCGAACCCGCACGACCCACCCAGTTCCCAAGCCCCCCAGGGGCTGAGACAGGCCAGGGGTGGCACCCGGGGCCCAGTCAGCGGAAATGAGCCGTGAGACCCCCACACACCAAAAGCCGGGCGCTGGCTCATATACCTTAATGACCATCTCAAAGGTGAACACGCCGGTGAAGACGTAGTCGAAATACCGCAGGACCTATGGGACACATGGAGGTGGGTGGTAGGTGGGCGTCCTGGGGGCCAGATCCCCCGCACCCTGTGTCGTCGGGGTCCCCCTGACCCTGTCCCTCGGCGGGGTGGGGGGCGGACACGGATGTGGCCTTTGTCCAGGCCAACCGTGGGGTGGTTGGTTCCCCGGGTGGTGGGGGAAGGGACCCCACGTCTCCAATGGTGCAAGAGAGCTGGTCCCCCTGATGCCGGGTGGGGTGGGCGGGGGTCACGCACCCTGTTGCGTTCCGAGTTGGTGAGGACGGGGTCCTCTGCGGCCAGGGCGATGCTGCTGGCCGCGATGACCAGGAGGATACACATCTCGAAGTAGCGCAGGTTGACGATATAGTGGCAGGCCCGGCGGATTCTGGGGTGGGGTGGGGGACAGGCGCCCTGAGCTGCTGCGAGACCCCTGGACGGCCCCTGTCTTAGCTGCCCTGCCGCCCCCTGGCTCCTGGCCTTAGCCCCGCAGGCCCCGGGCGCGCCAGTGCTCACGGGTTGGTCGTGCTGAAGATGAACATGGAGCTGTGAGGCACCATGGCCTTGCCCGTCTCTCGCTTCTCTTTCTTTTTCTTTTTCTTCTTCTTCTTCTCCGCCCCCTCCTCATCCTCGTCCTCGTCCTCCTCCGGGATCTCGGCCTCCTTCAGGGGACTGGCCTCCCCGTCCGTCTTGTTGCTCACTGCCCGGGGAAGTGGGGGGACGGGGGGGGAAAGGGCACAGACTCAGCAGCCCTGGCCGTGGGCTCTGGGGGCGGGGGGGTCGGGGAAGGGGGCTGGGAGCAGGGTCCCCATGTTGCCTGGCCTCGAGGTCCTGGGGTGGGGTGGGGGTCGCCCTAGGAGCGGGCGGTCCCCGCGGGCTGTCTCGGGCTGGCCAAGTCCAGACTCGATGGGAGACCCAGAGTCTTCGCATGCTCCGACCCCCATCCCAGAGGCACCCTGGAAGCCCCCCCAATCTGATCCCACCCCCCAGTGGCAGAGGGGGAGCCTGGCCACGCTGGCTGTCCACTCAGGCACTGTCCAGCCGGATCACAACCCCACCGGAAGCAGTTTTGTGGGTAGAAATCAGAAGGGAGGAGGGACCGGAGCGATAGCACAGCAGGGAGGGCGTTGGCCTGGCATGCAGTGGACCAGGGTTCGATTCCCAGCATCCCATAGGGTCCCCCCGCGAGCACTCCCAGGAGTGATTCCTGAGTGCAGAGCCAAGAGTCAGCCCTGAGCATCACCGAGTGTGGCCCAAAAACTTACGGGGGGGAAAACATTGGCAGGGGGAAACTGAGGCATACTGGGTGGGCGGGGCTGGGGCGCGGGACTAAGGCTGTGGCTGGAACTGAGGGGGTGGGGCTTAAGATGGGGGCGGGGCTGGGGCGGAGCTGAGGCTGGGGCGTGGCTTAAGATGGGGGAGTGGCCAGGGTAGAGCTGAGGCTGGAGGCGGGGCTGAGGCTGGGGTGTGGCTTAAGATGGGGGCGTGGCTGGGGTGGAACTGAGGCTGGAGGCGGGGCTGAGGCGTGGCTTAAGATGGGGCGTGGCTGGGGTGGAGCTGAGGTGGGAGGCGGGGCTGAGTCTGGGGCGGGGCTTAAGACGGGGGCGGGGCTGGGGCGGAGCTGAGGCTGGGGCGTGGCTTAAGATAGGGGAGTGGCCAGGGTAGAGCTGAGGCTGGAGGCGGGGCTGAGGCTGGGGTGTGGCTTAAGATGGGGGCGTGGCTGGGGTGGAACTGAGGCTGGAGGCGGGGCTGAGGCGTGGCTTAAGATGGGGCGTGGCTGGGGTGGAGCTGAGGTGGGAGGCGGGGCTGAGGCTGGGGCGGGGCTTAAGGCGGGGGCGGGGCTGGGGAGAGGGGCGGGGCCTCTCACTGTGCACCACGGTGGACTCCACCAAGGGGCCCACGTCGGGGATGGCCACAGCGACGCTGGTGCTCTCGGTGCCGGCCTTGTCCGTGGGGCTGGTGGCGCACGACAGATCGGGCTCGCTGTGGCTGATGCCACGGCCGATGTCCAGCTGCACGTCGGCCAGCAGGGCCTGCTCGCTGCTGCCCTCCGCCTCGGGCTCCGCCTCCCTGCCGGCCTCCAGCTCGGCCGGAGGCGGCAGCAGCGGGTTCTCCGCGTCCTCCAGGGCCCGGCCCAGCCCGGCGCTGCCGGCCACCATCAGGCTGTTGGTCCTGTGGGGGGCAGGGCTCAGGGTCGGGCGCAGGCGGGAGGAGGGGGGTCCCACACCCTGCCTGGCAGAAGGGTAAACTGAGGTACAAGGAGGGGGGCCCGCATCCTGCCTTGCAGAAGGGTAAACTAGGCACAAGCGGGGGGTCCCACATCCTGCCTTGCGGAAGGGTAAACTGAGGCACAAGGAGGGGGTCCCGCATCCTGCCTTTCAGAAGGGTAAACTGAGGCACAACGAGGGGGGGTCCCACATCCTGCCTGGCAGAAGGGTAAACTGAGGCACAAAGAGGGGTCCCACATTCTGCCTGGCAGAAGGGTAAACTGAGGCACAAGGAGGAGGGGGTCCCACATCCTGCCTGGCAGAAGGGTAAACTGAGGCACAAGGAGGAGGGGGTCCCACATCCTGCCTGGCAGAAGGGTAAACTGAGGCACAACGTGGGGGGATCCCACATCCTGCCTGGCAGAAAAATAAACTGAGGCACAAAGAGGGGTCCCACATTCTGCCTGGCACAAGGGTAAACTGAGGCACAAGGAGGGGGGGTCTCACATCCTGCCTGGCAGAAGGATACACTGAGGCACAAGCAGGGGGGCCCGCCTCCTGCCTGGCAGAAGGGTAAACCGAGGCACAAGGAGGCGGGCCCGCCTCCTGCCTGGCAGAAGGGTAAACCGAGGCACAAGGAGGCGGGCCCGCCTCCTGCCTGGCAGAAGGGCAAACCGAGGCACAAGGAGGCGGGCCCGCCTCCTGCCTGGCAGAAGGGCAAACCGAGGCACAAGGAGGCGGTCCCGCATCCTGCCTGGCAGAAGGGTAAACCGAGGCACAAGGAGGGGGGGGTCCCACATCCTGCCTGGCAGAAGGGTAAACCGAGGCACAAGGACGCGGCCCGCCTCCTGCCTGGCAGAAGGGTAAACCGAGGCACAAGGACGCGGCCCGCCTCCTGCCTGGCAGAAGGGTAAACCGAGGCACAAGCGGGGGGCCCGCCTCCTGCCTGGCGGAAGGGCAAACCGAGGCACAAGGAGGGGGGGTCCCACATCCTGCCTGGCAGAAGGGTAAACCGAGGCACAAGGAGGCGGTCCCGCCTCCTGCCTGGCGGAAGGGTAAACCGAGGCACAAGCAGGGGGGCCCGCATCCTGCCTGGCAGAAGGGTAAACCGAGGCACAAGGAGGGGGGGGTCCCACATCCTGCCTGGCGGAAGGGCAAACCGAGGCACGCCGCCACGCACCGCCGCAGGTCCGGGCCTCGCTCCTCCTCCTGGATCGGGGGCTGCTTGCCGCCCAGGGGCTCCCCGTCGGCCGGGGGGTCCCGCCTCGTCCAGGCCGCGCTCCTGGCTGGCCGAGCGGCTGCGGGAGCTGGACGCGGGGGTCGCGGCCCTCGAGCCGCACGCGGCGGTGGTGCCGGCTGCGCCGCTGGCTCTGGCGGTGCCGCGCCCGGTCCTCGAAGGCCGCGGGGGGCTCCGCGCCGCCCCCGCCCCCGGCCCCGGCCTCGGCGGGCGCCGCCTCGCAGTTCCCGAGGCACGGCCGGGCCGGCCAGGGCGGCTCCCGCCGGCCCGGGGCCAGCGGGCTGTGCGGCCGGTCCCCGAAGCCCACCTTGAGGGACCCCCCGCGGCCCACGCGCTCCTCCTCGCAGCGGCCCAGGCCCTCGCCGGCCCGGGGCCTGCGGTACAGGCTGGGGTGGGCGTTGAGCGGGTTCAGGGGGCTGAGCGGGTTCAGCGGGTTCAGGGGGTTCAGGGGGGGCCCGTCGTCCTTGTTCAGGGCCTCCTGGCTGGACATCTGCATGTGTCGGCGCAGCTGGCTGGTGCGTTGCTCCCACACGGACATGTGGTGCCGGCGACGACGCTCCCTCCTGCGGGCGGCGGAAAGGGCCGGTCAGCGCCGCGGGCAGCGCCAGGGGCAGGGCGAGGGGACGCACAGACGAGGGGCGGGGGTGGACAGCAGGAGGCGGCCGCCCCTGCAGACAGGAAAGCGCAGACGGGCCCCGCGGGGAGGCTGCGGCCCCCAGGAGGCCCGCACCCTGGCCGTGTCCACCGAGAGCCCCGGGTCCGCGGAGGAGTGGCCCTGGCCTTCTTGAGGGCAGCCGCTCGCGCCGGCTGACCCCGCCGACGGCCCCGGAGAACGGGCAGCGGAGTCCCCCGCGACGGCCACGCGGCCAGGAGGCACCTCCACCAGGGGGGAGGTGACCCCTCACTCCGCCGTCCCCCGTGATGGTGCCAGGGGGGGTGTCCACAGCGCACAGCCTCCCCCGCTCACAAAGGCCGCTCGCTGGGGCCACACAGAGAGCGGATGGATGGATGGATGGACGGACGGACGGATGGTCGGGCGGAGGCGTGCGCGGACACACGCACACACGCGTGTACACACGCGCACGCACGCACACACACACGGCCGCACATGGATCAAGCGTGTACGCACACGGCACCGGGTCCCCCGCACACACGCACACCCGCGCGCCCCCCCCCACACGGTGGGCGGGTCGTGGTCACGGGTGTGCCGTGGCCACGCGGGACCACGCGGGCCGGGCCGGGCCGACACACACACACACACACACACACGCCGCGGATGCACATACAAGTGCCGGCTCCGCGGCTCCCACATCGACATGTGATGACGTCGCCTCCTTCTGCGGAAGAGAATCGGGAGAGGTTCAGCGTGCCCCACGCGCGGGACCCCCGCCCCCAGCCCGGCTTGCTCTGTGGGGGGGGGCGGGACCCTCGCCGGACCCAGGCGTCCTCTGCCCCCCACTTGGAAGAACCGATGGCGGCATCACTTAGGGCGTCCCCGGACAGGCTGGAGCACCGACGCCCTCCCGGCCGCCACCCCACGTGGGTCAGTGTCGGGAACCAGTGGCCGAGGATCCTCAAGTGGTCACGGGCAGCGAGTGGGCAGAGGGGCCCAAGAGGGGGATGGGTGAGAGCCACACTCAGGGGATGTGAGAGGACTGGGCCCCAGGGGCTCCCGGGACCCCCAAACCCCAAGCACACCCCAAAGTGGACACCCAGCGTGTGGGCAGAGCTGGCGTATCCTTCGGGTCAAAACGCCAGACCCAGCTCTGGGAAGCTTCGTGGGAAACTTCTGGAAGCACACACACACACGCACACGCACGCACACACACACAGGAACATGTTCAAACATGCATCCGCACGCGCACACACACACAGAGGACATGCTCACATGCGCACATAGGAACCAGGGCACATTCAGACACACACATGCATCTACGCACCAGGATGTGCTGAGACACGCACCTGCATGCGATCATGCAGACAACATACGAACCGGGACACACTCAGACACGCACACATGTGCCCATAGGAACCGGGACATGCTCAGACATGCACACATGTGCACATAGGAACCGAGACACACTCAGACACGCACACACACGTGCACATAGGAAGGGGGACACGCTCAGACACGCACACATGTGCCCATAGGAACCGGGACATGCTCAGACACGCACACATGTGCACATAGGAACCGGAACACAGACACGCACACACGTGCACATAGGAACCAAGACACGCTCAGACACGCACACACACGTGCACATAGGAAGGGGGACACGCTCAGACACGCACACACGTGCACACAGGAACCGGGACACACTCAGACACGCACACACATGCACATAGGAAGCAGGACACACTCAGACACGCACACACACATGCACATAGGAACCGGGACACACTCAGACACGCACACACACATGCACATAGGAACTGGGACACACTCAGACACGCACACACAGGAACTGGGACACACTCAGACACGCACACACATGCACATAGGAACCGGGACACACTCAGACACGCACACACAGGAACTGGGACACACTCAGACACGCACACACACGTGCACATAGGAACCGGGACACACTCCGACGCACACACGCACACACATGCACACATGCTCTGGGCCAAGAGACCCTCACACACACGCGCCCCTCCAAGTTCTGCACAGACCAGACGCACGTTCACGCTCCCCCCCGTCCACGGTGAGGGTCCCCACGTCCCCACATGCCCTCTGGACCCCAGCCCACGCGCCACGCATGGAACCCGGGGGAACAGTTGCCTGGGGTGGCTTGAGCTCACCCTCGCCCTGGCCCTCGCCCCTCCCTCTCCCTCCCTCCCTCTCCTTCTCCAGGTGAGGATGACACAGGGCTCCCACCTGGACCAAACCCTGCACTCACGGCCCCCGTGTCCCCTCCCGGCCCGCAGCCCCAGGTCTGTTCTCTGCAAAAGGGCCGTCAGAAAGAACTGCAAGGGTGGGCGTCCCCTGCACCCCCCCTTGGCGTGTCTGGGCACCTGCAGGGGCGTCCGACCCACTCTGCTGAGTTCAGGAAAGGCAGGGTGGAAACTAGCCCACGCCCAGAGAACCTTCTGGAGAGGAAGCCTGTTCTGCTTTTCTCCACCGATGCCTGTGGGGAACTGGGGCTTTTGGGGAGGAGGGGTCACTCCCAAGCCAACTGGGTCTCACACACGGGCGTGGAGCCCCTCGGAGCCCCTCCGGGAGGAAGATGGAAAAAGGGGTCTCAGACAGCTGGACCCGGGACCTCCTCACTCCACTTCCGGCAGCCCGGGAAGGGGTCTGACAGCTCCCGGCTCCGGGACCCCCCTCCAGTTCCCCTGGGGCAACGGTAAGGAGTCACAGGTCCCCGCGGATCTGTGACGTCACCCCCATTTCCCTCCCGGAGTCCCTCCCACGCAACAGCGCTGGTGGCCGTCCCCCCTGGGACTGGGGCCCCCCACCCACTCCGACCCCCAGATGCACCAAGCATCAGGGTCTCGGGGCCTTCTTCCCGGACCCCCAGAAGTCCCCCCACCTCTCCATTGCCCTCAGGGGCAGCACATTCCACTGGCGGTTTCAGTGACCCCCGACCCCAGGACCCCTTCCCCAAGTCCTGACCCCCGACCCCCCCCGGCTGTGAGTCCCGTGGCCACCGGCCTGCCCAACACCCCCATTCCAAGGCCTATTAGGGCATCCGACCTGACACCCGCCTTCTCGAGGGGAGTCCCCATGGGCACAGGGAACCCCCAGGGCGTGTCCCCCAGACCCTAACCCACGTGACCCACCACCGGCCCCTTGGGTTCTGTGGCCCAAAAGGACACGAGGGTGGTTCTTCCCTACAGCCCAGCACCCCTGGGCCCAAACCAGGGACAGCAAACCTGCCCCCGCATCCCACTGCCCCTCTCCACGGAGTGCAGTTCCCAAAGCTGAACTCAGAGGGACGCCCCCATGCCCACAACCCTGAGAAGGCCCCCCTGAGGTCTCTGCTGGCTTTCCGCCCCCCCCCCCCCCCCGGCAGAGCCGCTACCAATCCTGGACTCGATGCCCTGAGCTGCCCCTGAAGTGGGTGTGAGGCTCTCAGGAAGCTTTTAAAGCATCAAAAAAGAAAAAAAAAATTGGGGGCCGGAGCGATAGCCCAGCAGGGAGGGCGTTGGCCTGGCACAAAGTCAACCCAGGAGGTTCGATCCCCAGCATCCCATAGGGTCCCCCGAGCACCACCAGGAGCGATCCCTGGGAGTCAGCCCTGAGCATCGCCGGGTGGGACCCCCCCAAAAAAAAGAAGAAAAGAAAAAAATGGGAGGCTAGAGCAATAGCCCAGCAGGGAGAGTGTTTGCAGCATTCCCTAGGGTCCCCCAAGCACTGCCGGGAGTGATTCCCGAGTGCAGAGCCAGGACTGAGCCCTGAGCATCACCAGGTGTGGCCCCCAAACAGAAAACAAAATTAATTTAAAAACTTAAGGGGACCGAGTGATAGCACAGCGGGGAGGGCGTTTGCTTGGCACGTGGCTGACCCAGGTTCGATCCGTGGCATCCCCTAGGGTCCCCCGAGCACCGCCAGGAGTGATTCCTGAGTGCAGAACCAGGAGTCAGCCCTGAGCATCGCCGGGTGCGGCCCCCAAACAAAAGCTTTAAGAAAAAAAAATAATAACCCAGAAAGAACGGGGCCAGTATTACCTTAGAGAGGGTGTGGTGATGTGGGGACCCAGCCAAGGCCTCAGCGGGGCAGAAGTTGAGTCTCGGTCCCAAGGGGCGCCCCTCCCCCCGCCCCGCCCCCACCCCAGGGCCCAGGCACTCACTCGATGGCCAGCATGTTGGGCGCGGACATGGGGCTGACTTCCTTGGCCTTCTGGAGCATGTGCTTCTGGTTGAAGGCCTCCTCCTCCTCCTGCTCGTCCTGCAGGACACAGAGGGGTGGCCGGGCTGCTGGGGGCTCGGCCCCTTCCCACCCTGCTGTCCACGGCACCCACAGGGCCTGCAGCGGCAGCCGGGACAAGCCGCAAAGGCCAGAGCCGCGCTCCCTCCCCCCAAGAACAATGCCCACCTTGGTCAGCTCCTGGGCATTAGCCAGATTGTCCACAGCGATGGCCAAGAACACGTTCAGCAGCGTGTCTGGGTGGGCAGTTAAGGTGGCCAGGCCAGGGCAGAGGCCCGATACCCCCTCCCCACCCTGAGCACCCATTACCCCCACCACCCAGTATCCCCAACCCCGCCATCCCCGTATCCCCATTCCCATCCCAATATCCCCAATCCCACCATCCCCGTATCCCTAATCCCATTCCTGTATCCCCAATCCCATCCAAGTATTCCAATACTAACATCCCCGTATCCCCAATCCCATCCCAATATCCCCAATTCCGCCATCTCAGTAATCCCAATCCCGCCATCCCAGTAATCCCAATTCCACCATCCCAGTATCCCAATCCCAATATCCCCGTATCCCAATCCCATCCAAATATCCCCAATACCAACATCCCTGTATCCTCAATCCCATCCCAATATCCCCAATCCCACCATCCCAGTAATCCCAATTCCACCATCCCAGTATCCCAATCCCAACATCCCCGTATCCCAATCCCATCCCAATATCCCCAATACCAACATCCCAGTAATCCCAATCCCACCATCCCCATATTCCCAATCCCACCATCCCCATATCCTTAATCCCATTCCTGTATCCCCAATCTCATCCCAGTATCCCCAATCCCAACATCCCCATATCCCCAATCTCAATATCCCCAATCGTACCATCCCCATATCCCTAATCCCATTCCTGTATCCCCAATCCCATCCCCATATTCCCAATCCTGCCATCCCAGTAATCCCAATCTCCATATCCCTAATCCCATTCCTGTATCCCCAATCCCATCCCAGTATTCCAATACCAACATCCCCGTATCCCCAATCTCATCCCAATATCCCCAATCCCACCATCCCAGTAATCCCAATCCCAACATCCCTGTATCCCCAATCCCACCATCCCAGTAATCCCAATCCCGCCATCCCCATATTCCCAACATCCCCGTATCCCCAATCCCATCCCAATATCCCCAATCCCACCATCCCAGTAATCCCAATCCCGCCATCCCAGTATCCCAATCCCGCCATCCCAGTAATACCAATCCCCGTATCTCTTATCCCATTCCTGTATCCCCAATCCCATCCCAGTATTCCAATACCAACATCCCCATATCCCCAATCTCATCCCAATATCCCCAATTCCAACATCTCCATATCCCCAATCCCGCCATCCCAGTAATACCAATCCCCGTATCTCTAATCCCATTCCTGTATCCCCAATCCCATCCCAGTATTCCAATACCAACATCCCCATATCCCCAATCTCATCCCAATATCCCCAATTCCAACATCCCCGTATCCCCAATCCCGCCATTCCAGTAATCCCAATCCCCTCATTGCTCCGTCCACAGCCCTCTCTGCTGCCCCAGGCCCCCGTCACAAGGCACACACGGGGCTTAGGGGCCACCAGGTCCGGGGCCGCCCGGCCCGGCGGATACAGTTGCCAAAGAGGGTGAGGATGATGAAGTAGACGGCGGCCCACATGCCCGAGCTGACGCCACCCTGGGAACGGATGCCATTGTACATCACCTCGTTCCAGTCTTCACCCGTCAGGATCTAGCCAACGAACACGAGGAGGAGACGGAGGAAGACGCGCACTGGGCACTCCCGTCCACCCCAGGGAGGGGACACATGTCACTTCCAGAGGGGCGCTCAAGTCCTGGGGCCCAGCCTGTGAAATCCAGGTCCTCACAAACGCCAAACAGCCCCCAAATCCTGGAAGCCCAACTTCCGGCCCCTGCCTGGTGGTCTCCAAGGGGCCAAGCCTCAGGGGGGTCTAGGGCTGGACACAGGCGGCTAACCCGGATCTTATTTTTTTGCTCTTAGGGTCACACTAAGTGATGCTCAGGGCTGACTCAGGGCTCTGCACTCAGGGATCACTCCTGGCAGTGCTCGGGGGACCCTATGGGATGCCGGGGATCGAACCCGGGTTGGTTCTGTGCAAGGTAAACACGCTACCCTCTGTCCCATCTCTCTGGCCCTGACCTGCTCTTCCTTAAGTGCTGAGACAGGACCATCCACACTGCCCCAAACTTAGCTTTTCAAGGTTTCAGCATTTGACATGTAGGGGTGGGCAGGAAACCCTCGGCACCCCTAGAGTTGGGAAACCAGGTGTCTGGGCCTGTGCTCCCCAGGGCAGGTGAAGGTGGGGTCTGGGTGAGCCCCCCACCCCCAAAACCATGGCAGGAGGGAGCAAGCCCTGAGGCACTTGGGTGGGCGTCCCCCACTAGCTGTGGGGTCTGGGGGGGAGGGTTGCCCAGATGTCCGCCTCGTGCCGGGGTGGTGGGGGACCTTGTACCTGGAACACGGTCATGATGGCTGCAGGGAAGGTGTCAAAGTTTGCCGACGGCGTCCCATCGTTGAAGTTGAACCTGGAGCGGAGTTCAGGGGACGTGCATGACACAAAGACCACAGCAGCATCCTTCCCATCACGGTTCCTCCTCTCCCCTGCCCCCGGGGGCCCCCGCTTCCACCAAGGGTGGGAGGGAGAGTCTGGGGCCAGCCCTGTGTCCACTTCTGGGGCAGTACTCTAGGGGGGAGGGGTAGTCCCCCAGAACAAAGTGCCCGTGTGCCTCGGGGTGTGCAGGGGGGACAGGTCGTGGCGCTCACCTGCCCCCGAACAGCTGCATCCCCAGGAGGGCGAAGACCACGATGAAGAGGAAGAGGAGGAAGAGGAGGCTGATGATGGACTTCATGGAGCTCATCAAAGACACCACCAGGTTCCGCAGGGATGCCCAGTACCTGGGTGCGAGAGCCGGCGGCTGGCATGGCCCAGCCTAGGGCTGCCCGGAGGCCCCACCCTGCCCACCCCATCCTGGGCCAGGCCCCACCCCGTCCCCAGGACCAGCCCTCCACCCCAACCAGTTTCTAGCCCGCCTGCCCAGGCCCCGCCCTCTGCCCGGCCCTTGCCAAGCCCTGCCCTCACCCAGGCCCCGCCCTCCACCCCACCCAGGCCCCGCCCTCTTCCCCCGCCCTCCGCCCCGCCCAGGCCCCACCTCACCGGGCCAGGCTCCGCCCTCTGCCCCGACCTCGCCCTCTGCCCAAACAGGCCCCGCCCCATCCCAAGGCCCCGCCCTCCACCCCACCCAGGTCCCAACCCAGCTGCCCAGGCCCCGCCCTCGGCCCCGCCCAGGCCCAGCCCTCTGCCCCCAACAGGCCCCGCCCATCCCCGGCCCCGCCCTCCACCCCACCCAGGCCCCACCCAGGCTTCCCCTCACCAGGCCAGGCTCCACCCTCTACCCCACCCAGGTCGCAACCTGCCTGCCCAGGCCCCGCCCTCGGCCCTGCCCAGGCCCAGCCCTCTGCCCCCAACAGGCCCCGCCCATCCCTGGCCCCGCCCTCCACCCCACCCAGGCCCCGCCCAGGCTTCCCCTCACTGGGCCTGGCTCCACCCTCTACCCCACCCAGGTCGCAACCTGCCTGCCCAGGCCCCGCCCTCGGCCCTGCCCAGGCCCAGTTCTCTGCCCCACCCTCACCCAGGCTCTGTCCAGGCCCCAGATTCCGCCCTCCACCCCCACCCAGGTCCTACCCAGCCTGCCCAGGCCCCGCCCTCTGCCCCGCCTTAGCCCAGGCCCCGCCCAGACCCTAAGCCCCGCCCTCCGCCCCACTAAGGCTCCACCCCCGCCTCAGGCCCCGCCCCTCCCACCCCAGGCCCCTCCCCATCCTGCTCTCAAGCCCTGCCCCCAGACCAGCCCCACCCCATGCCCTGCCTCACCCACCCCCAGGCCCCGCCCCCAGGCCTTGTCGCATCCTGGCCCCGCCTGGCTCCCAGGCCCCTCCCCACCCATCTCAGGCCCCGCCCCAGCCCCAGACCACGCCCCGCCCCCGCCCCACCCGCCTCAGGCCCCGCCCCCTTACTTGGTGATCTTGAAGATCCGAAGAAGCCGCAGGGCACGCAGGACACTGATGCCAAAGGACGTGCCAGGGCGGAAGATGGCCCAGACCACCTCGAAGATGCTGCCCACGGTGACCTGGCGGGGGGCGGCCGGTGGGGGGCTTCATAGGGCCTCCCGTGAAGGCCGCGGGGAGAAAGGAGCCTTTCTTCCCGGGCTGGACACGGTGGCATCACCATCCCCAGCTGTCTCTCACCCCCCCCCCCCCGCAGGTGAAAGTGGCTTCGGTCACTCTTGTCCCCACCCGCCCCTGTCCCCAAACACTGTGGCGGCGGCCGGTGGTGGCAGGAGGCCTGAGCACTTAATTTTTTTTTTTTTTGGCTTTTTAGGCCACACCCAGTGATGCTCAGGGCTGACTCCTGGCTCTGCACTCAGGGATCACTCCTGGTGGGCTCACGGGACCCTAGGGGATGCTGGGGATCGAACCCGGGTCGGCCACATGCAAGGCCAATGCCCTATCTGTTGTGCTGTTGCCCAGGCCCCCAGTTCATCACTACTGATTGATCGACTGATTGCTTTTTGGGTACCACCCGGCGATGCTCAGGGCTGACTCCCGGCTCTGCACTCAGGGATCACTCCTGGCGGTGCTCAGGGGATCCTATGGGATGCTGGGGATCGAACCTGGGTCTGCTGCGTGCCACGCCAACACCCTCCCTTGCTGTGCTATCTCTCTGGCCCTTTCTTATGTCTTTTTCAGGCCCGAGCACTTTAGGAAGCAGCCCCTGGCCGGGGCAAGGACCAAACGCGCCCGAGTTCCCCGCCCTGCCCACCTAGCGCCCAGTGCACCCCACCCACGGAGCCCAGGGAAACCATGAGGTCATTCTCAGGGCCGGGATTCCGAGGCCCCTTTCCTGCACGTCACCACCCCAGGAGGGGCTCGCACCCGAGCCCAAGGGCAGGTCAGGGGGCGCTCAGAGGCACATGCAGAAGGGGAGAGGCAGGAGCTAGCTAGTGCCACGTCCCCCCACAGGCCCTGAGTCCCCCCACGTGGGACCCCCGAGAACAGGAAGGCCCAAGGGCTGTGGTGGCCCTATGCAGCTGTCCCCGCCAGACTGAAGCCGTGAGGAAAACACCGGAGGGGCTCTTTTGTCACCGAGACACCCCGAGACATTCGTCCTCTCCCGCAAGCACGACACCAGACAGGAATGCCACAAGCCAGGGTTTTGTGGATGAGAGCACCACAGATAAGAGTCCCACCGGTCAGGGTGCCACGGAGGAGCACCACGGACAAGAGCGACTTGGATGAGCACTAGGGGTGAGTGAGCACCACAGACCAGGCTGCCACGGGCAAGGGTGCCACGGATGAGCAAGAACTAGCACCACAAAAAGGAGGCCACGGACAAAGGAGCCACGGATAAGCCACAAACAAGGCTGCCACGGAAGAGGGAGCCACGGACGAGGGTGCCATGGGCAAGGGCCAGCATCACAGACACAAACATCACGGACACACACTCATGGATGAGGGCAACACGGAGAAGCACAAACGCATCACAGCCAAGTGTGCGATCAAGAACTGGTGTCGCAGCACAAGGCCAGGCCGGGTTGCGGGCGGTGGGGACGCGTGGGAGACTGTCCCATGGACACCGTCCCGGGGCCCGGGGTCACAGGTCAGGCAGGTCTCATGCACGGCCCCGTTCGCCAGGACGGTGCTTTGTGGCCTCCCCGCCTGGCGTTGTGCAGATGGCCCTGAGCCCCGACTGGCCGCCTGCGGGGGGACCCAGCACGGGGGGTCCCAAAACTCACCCCGAAGTCGAAGCAGTTGAAGGACGAGTGGAAGTAGAGGCGCGGCCCCAGCCCGTACATCTTCAGGCTCATCTCCAGGAGGAAGAGGCCCAGGAACAGGAACTCGGCGTAGTCTGGGTGGGAGCGGCAGGGGCCGGGTCAGGGCCCCCGACACCCCACGCACACCCACAGACCCACACAGACCCCCACAACACAAACCCCACACATCCCCACAGACCCACACCCCCCACAACACAACCCCCCCACACCCACAGACCCATACCCCCCACAACACAATCCCCACACACACCCCAACACAACTCCCACACACACCCACAGACCCACACCCCCCACAACACAAACCCCACACCCTCCCAACACAAACCCCACGCACACCCACAGACCCACACAGACCCCCACAACACAAACCCCACACATCCCCATAGACCCACACCCCCCACAATACAACCCCCCCACACACCCACAGACCCACACCCCCCACAACACAATCCCCACACACACCCCAACACAACCCCCCCACACACCCACAGACCCACACCCCCCACAACACAATCCCCACACTCACCCCAACACAACTCCCACACACACCCACAGACCCACACCCCCCACAACACAAACCCCACACCCTCCCAACACAAACCCCACTCACACTCACGGACCTACACCCCCCACAACACAAACTACACACACCCACAGACCCCCCCAAACACAACCCCCACGCACATCTACATACCCACACCTCCCCTCACAACACAAACTCCATGCACACCCACAGACCCACACCCCCACAACACAAACCTCACACACACCCACGGACCCACACCCCACACAACACAAACCCCACACACACCCACGGACCCACACCCCCCACAACGCAAACCCCATGCACACCCACAGACCCACACCCCCCACAACGCAAACCCCACGCACCCCCACAGACCCACACCCCCAAACACAAACCCTACACATCCCCACAGAACCACACCCCCCACAACACAAACCCCCCACACACCACAGACTCAACCCCCCCTACAACACAAACCCCCCACACACCCGCAGGCCCACACAAGGCCCTCAGGTAGGACATGGATAAAGTCTGGGCCCCTCACACCCCCCCACACCCACAGACCCCCACACACTTCCATGGGGGGGTTGGGGGGGTATGTGTGTATATGTGAGAGGTGTTATAGCCTACAGGCCATGTGAGTGGGTGTGTGTGGGTGCATGGGGTGTGTATGTGGGTGTGTGTGTTTGGGTGTGTGTGTTTGGGTGTGTGTGTTTGGGTGTGTGTGTGTGTGTGTGTGTGTGTGTGTGTATGTGTATGAGGGGCGAGACTCCTCAATCTGGAGGGCCATACCCGCCAGGCCCCGCCCCTTTCCAGGCCCCGCCCCCAACCCTGGCCCGCCCCTGCCCAGGCCCCGCCCCCACCCCGACTCTGGCCCCGCCCCTTTCCAGGCCCCGCCCAAAACCCTGACCCCGCCCATTTCCAGGCCCCGCCCCAAACCCTGGCCCGCCCCTGCCCAGGCCCCGCCCCACCCCGACTATGGCCCCGCCCCCTTCCAGGCCCCGCCCCAGACACTGCCCAGGCCCGGCCCCGCCCACTCCCCCGCCTGGGCACCTACAGAGCAGGTGCGTGAGCCACTGCGGCTGGTTGTGGTGGACGATGGCCACGCAGGCGGTGTTGAGCGCCACCAGGCCCAGCACGGTCCAGTAGAAGGCCTGGGACTTGACGGTGTGGCGGATGGAGATGCGCAGGCGCCGCTCCTTGTGGCGCAGGTACGAGGCGCCGTCCACCTTGGCGCCCTTGATGCTGCCGCGGGCCAGGGGCGTGCCTGGGCGGGGTGGGGGGAGGGGACAGCGGGCTGCAGCGACCAGCGTTCCCACGGCCCCCGCGAGGCCGGGGGCTCAGGGGGCTCCCCAGGGGGCGTTTTCCTCCTCCAGGGCCCTTTCAGTCCTTTGAAATGGGCCCCCTTTGGACGGGCCCCAGGACCCTGGATGGCCCCGAGCATCCTAGACGAGCCTCAGGAATCTGGACGGGCCCCAGGACGGCCCCCAGGACCCTGATTGGTCCCCAGGACCCTGGATGGGCCCCAGGACCCTGGATGAGCCCCAGGATCCTGGACGGGACCCAGGATCCTGGACAGCCCTCAGGACGGTCCCCAGGACCCTGATTGGTCCCCAGGACCCTGGATGGCCCCTAGCATCCTGGACGGGCCCCAGGACCCTGGATAGCCCCCAGGACTCTGGATGGATCTCAAGACCCTGGACGGGTCCCCAGGACCCTGGATGATCCCTCTAGATGGCCCCCAGCATCTGGGTGGCCCCCAGTACCCTGCACAGACCCCAACAGTCTGGACAGCCCCCAGCATCCTGGACAGACCTCAGGACCCTGGATGGATGGCCCTCAGGAATCTGGACAGGCCCCAGGAGTCTGGACAGGCCCCAGTACCCTGGATGGGCCCCAGGACCTTGGATGGCCCCTCTAGATGGCCCCCAGCATCTGGGTGGCCCCCAGTACCCTGCACAGACCCCAACACCCTGCAAAGACCCCAACACCCTGGACAGCCCCCAGCATCCTGGACAGACCTCAGGACCCTGGTCGGCCCCAGAACCCCCAGCTCCTCTCTGCTTCCCAGATCACCATACCCAGCTCTGCCCCCTGGGGTCACGGCTGCTGCTGATGACCCTGAAGCCAATGGCCCCTGGCCCCGCGCCCCCTCCGTCTGTGCCTTGCCCTGGGAGCCCCCCTCTCCTCCTCTCAAGCCCCCATCTTCCATCCTGCCTTCATCAGTCTGGGCCGCACTGTCTGTTCTCTCTGGGGTCTCCTTCCTGGCCTGGGGGGGGTACGCGGGGCCTGGGTCCAGCCGTGGAGGGGGGCCTCCGGACTCTGTGGGATCCTGGGACCAGCCAGGACATGAAGCCACCACGGTAATGCCCCTGAAGTCCCCTACACCCCTTGACCTCTGGGATTTGCTTCCTGCCGGGGCCTTTCCCAGAGACGGGCCATGTGTGGGGGGTTCGGACAAGAGGATCTGGGCAGAGCACCCGGCGGGGGGATATACTGGCGCCTGGACGTGGCCCCCCCCACCCCGGCGTTCACTCACCCACAGAGGAGATGTCCACGCAGTGCTCATCACTGGCGTCTCGGGTCATGGCCTCTGTCCGACTCCTCTTGATGGTGGCCCTGCGGAGCACTGCGAGGGGACAGACGGTGAGGAGGACAAGGACAAGCTCACGGGGCTCAGAATGGGGGAGGGTGGGCAGAGGGGCACAGGAAACTGCCAGTGTCGACTGGACACCTCTGAGCTGCGGTTCTAGAAACCGCCACTGTCTATAGGACACGTTTAGGTCGGGGTTCCAGAAACCACCAATGCCTACAGGATGCATCTGAGTCGGGGTTCTAGAAACTGCCACTGTCTCTAGGATGCATCTGAACTCGAGTTCTAGAAACCACCACTGTGCACGGGACACATCTGAGCTGGGGTTCTAAAAATTGCCACTGAGTACAGGATGCATCTAAGCCAGGGTTCTAGAAACTGCCACTGTCTCCAGGACGCATCTGAACTGGGGTTCTAGAAACCACCACTGAGTCCAGGATGCATCCAAGCCAGGATTCTAGAAGCCACCACTGACTGCAGGATGCATCTGAGCTGGGGTTCCAGAAACCGCCAATGCCTTCAGGACACATCTGAGCCGGGGTTCTAGAAACCGTCACTGTCTCCAGGACGCATCTGCCCTGGGGTTTTAGAAACCACCACTGTCTCCAGGATGCATCTGAATTGGAATTCTAGAAACCACCACTGTGCACAGGATGCATCTGAGCTGGGGTTCTAGAAACCTCCAGGGTTCTAGAAACAGCCACTGTCTCCAGGACACATCTGAACTGGGGTTTTTCTAGAAACCTCCACTGAGTAGCGGATGCATCCAAGCCAGGATTCTAGAAACCGCCACTGTCTCCAGAATGCATCTGAACTGGAGTTCTAGAAACCACCACTGTGCACAGGATGCATCTGAGCCGGTATTCTAGAAACCGCCACTGTCTCCAGGACGCATCTGAACTGGGGTTCTAGAAACCACCACTGAGTACAGGATGCATCTGGAGTTCTAGAAACTGCCACTGTGCACAGGATGCATCTGAGCCGGTATTCTAGAAACTGCCACTGTCTCCAGGACGCATCTGAACTGGGGTTCTAGAAGCCACCACTGAGTACAGGATGCATCTGGAGTTCCAGAAACTGCCACTGTGCACAGGAGGGATCTGAACTAGGGTCCTAGAAACCGCCACTGTGCACAGGATGCATCTGGGTGAGGGTTCTAGAAACTTCCACTGTCTCCAGGACACATCTGAGCCAGTGTTCTAGAAACCGCCAAAGCCTACAGGATGTACCTGAGTCAGGGTTCTAGAAACCACCACTGTCTACCGGAAGCATATGCCCTGGAGTTCTAGAAACCACCACTGTGCACAGGACACATCTGAGCTGGGGTTCTAGAAACTGCCACTGTCTCCAGGACACATCTGAACTGGGGTTCTAGAAACCACCACTGAGTACAGGATGCATCTGGAGTTCCAGAAACTGCCACTGTGCACGGCGGATCTGAGCTAGGGTCCTAGAAACCACCACCGAGTACAGGATGCATCTGAGCCGGGGTTCTAGAAACTGCCACTGTCTCCAGGACACATCTGAGCCAGTGTTCTAGAAACCGCCAAAGCCTACAGGCCCCATCTGAGCCGGGGTTCTAGAAACCGCCACTGTCTGCAGGACAGGTTTTAAGTCAGGGCTCTGGGAACCGCCAGTGTGGACAGGATTCACCTGAGCTGGGGTTCTTGACACCACCAACACCTACAGGACACACCTCTGGGCCCCACCACCTCATGAAAGCCGGGATCGATTCCCGTGGGGGCCGACTCTAGCTCAGGGGTGACCCGCACACCCTCTGAACAGGGCCGCACACCCCAGCATATGCCCGTGGTCCCCGGAAGACCCCCCTCACAGCTCATCGACCATCCTCCCGACACAACCATCATCCACACAGCCGGGACTGAGGTGGCGGGCGGATGCCACAGTCAGACCCAGACGCCGGTGCCGCACCCGACACCCGTGCCCTTACCTTCCAAGGCCGAAGTCCCCGAGTTCTTGTTCTCCTCAGCCAGCATGACTTCCTCTGTTGCAACAAAAGGGCTTTCCGTTATCTGCCAAACACTTTTACTGATTTTTCCTTTCTGGGTCCCACCCGGCGATGCTCAGGGCCGACTCCTGGCTCTGCACTCAGGGATCACTCCCGGAGGTGCTCGGGGGACCCGAGGGGATGCCGGGGATCGAACCCGGTCGGCCGCGTGCAAGGCAGACGCCCTCCCCACTGGACTATGGCTCCCCCACAAGAGCCTGCCTGCCTGCCTGCCTGCCCTCCCGCCCTCCCTCCCTTCCTTCCTTCCTCTCTTTCTTCCTTCCTTTCTTCCTTTTTCTTTCTCCTTCCTTCCTTCCTTCCTTTCTTTTCTTCCTTCCTTCCTTTCTTCCTTTTTCTTTCTCCTTCCTTCCTTCCTTCCCTCCCTCCCTCCCTCCCTCCCTCCCTCCCTCCCTTCCTCTCTTCTTTCTTTTTTTCTTTCTTTCTTTCTTTTCTTTTCTTCCTTCCTTTCTTCCTTTTTCTTTCTCCCTCCTTCCTTCCTTCATCTTTCTTTGTGTGTGTCTTTTTGGGGTCCCACCCAGCGATGCTCAGGGCTCCTGGCTCTGCACTCAGGAATTACTCCTGGCAGTGCTTGGGGGACCCTAGGGGATGCTGGGGATCGAACCCGGGTTGGCCGTGTGCAAGGCAAACACCCTCCCCACTGTGCTATCGCTCCAGCCCCTCTGCCAACCACTTTTGCAGGAAAAATGCAGCCCCCCTTTCTGACCCTCGCCCCCACCCCATTCCCCTGGGTCGGTGGCTCCAGGCAAAAATCAGACCACGGGGCTGAGGCCTGGCACACCAGGTGTGGGACACAGAGAAAGGAAGTGCTTCCATTAGGGGACACGGGGGTACAGTTCTGCTTGGAGTCTGATGCCCTGGTCGGGAAGACCCTGAGAAAAAGTCAAAAAGTCAACTTTAACCTCCCTGTAGCACTGTCCTCCTGTTGTTTATCGATTTGCTCGAATGGGCACCAGTAACGTCTCCATGGTGAGACTTGTTGTGACTGTGTTTGGCATATCGAATACATCACGGGGAGCTTGCCAGGCTTTGCCATGTGGGCGAGATAATCTCGGTAGCTTGCCGGGCCCTCCGAGATGGGTGGAGGAATCGAACCTGGGCCGACCAGGTCGGCTGTATGCAAGGCAAACACCCTCCCTGCTGTGCTATCACTCCAGCCCCCTAATCTGCCAGAAATGTCGATTTCCCGTTGGCCTCCTGCTCTAACTCCTGAAACCTTTTTCACCACCAGAAATTTTTTTTTTTTTTGCTGTTTTTTTTGGGTCCCACCCAGTGATGCTCAGGGCTGACTCCTGGCTCTGCACTCAGGAATCACTCCTGGCGATACTCAGGGGGACCCTATGGGATGCTGGGAATCGAACCCGGGTTGGTTGCATGCAAGGCAAACGCCCTCCCCGCTGTGCTATCGCTCTAGCTCCCTGGGAATTTCTCTTGACGGAGCCTTTCGGCCCCTGCAATGATCGCCCCATTCAGGGGGTCAGGCTCCATGACCTGTGTCTTCTGCTGACTTCCAGGGTTCTGTACCAGAGCTGCACTGGGCGGTGGCAGTGTCCACGGGGACACTGGTGTCACAAGGGAAGGGTCCACAGGGCTCAGCCAGATGACTCCATTTTCTCATGGGGGCAGCGGTGCACCCTGCAGTGGGCCCCATCTCCATCGAGGGGCCTTTCTGCTTACTGTATCCCATCCACGTGTGGGGGGAGAGGGGGTGTGAGTTCCACAGCGGGGGCAGGGCCTGAGCCTCACACCCCCCCACCCACCCAGCAGCCCCTGGGGGAGCCCTGGCCGCAGACGTCATGAGGTGGGTCTGTTGTGGGAACTTGGAGCAAATGAAGGAGCAGAGCCGCTGAACCATCGTGGGATTCTTCTGGTATAGACCACAGGGAGTGTTGCAGTATCGTGACTGGTTATTCCAGTGTAGACCATGAGGGGTGTCTCAGCCGTTACTGTGATTCCTCTTGTGTAGACCATGAGGGGTGTCTCAGCTGTGATTCCTCTTGTGTAGACCATGAGGGGTGTGTCTCAGCCGTTACTGTGATTCCTCTGGTATAGACCAAGAGGGTTTCTCAGCTGTTACTGTGATTCTCCGGGGTAGACCATGAGGGATATCTCAGTCACTACGGTCATTCCTTTGGTGGAGACCCTAAGGGGTGTGCAGCCTTTATCACGATTCCTCTGGTGAAGACCATGAGGAGTGTCTCAGCCCTTATGTGGTCCCTCTGGTGTCAACTATGGAAAGTGTCTCAGCTGTTACTGTGACTTCCTCTGGTGTAGACTATGGAAAGTGCCTCAGCCTTTATCATGAGTCTTCTGGTGAAGACCACGAGGGGTGTCAGAGCCTTTACTGTGATTCCTCTGGTGTAGACCATGAGGGGTGTCTCAGCCTTTACTGTGATTCCTCCAGTGCAGACCAGGAGGGATATCTCCGTCACTACTGACATTCCTCTAGTGTAGACCATAAGGGGTGTGCAGCCTTCATCATGATTCCTCTGGTGTAGACTGTGAGGGGGTGTGTCTCAGTCTTTACTGTGATTCCTCTGGTATAGACCATAGAAAATGTCTTAGCTGTTACTGTGATTCCTCTGGTGTAGTCTATGGAAAGTGTCTCAGCCTTTATCGTGATTCCTCTGGTGAAGACCATGGGGAGTATCTCAGTTCTTATGTGGTTCTTCATGTAGACTCTGGAAAGTGTCTCAGTTGTTACTGTGATTCCTCTGGTGTACACCATGGAAAGTGTCTGAGCTGTTACTGTGATTCCTCTGGTGTAGACCGTGGAAAGTGTCTCAGCATTTATTGTGATTCCTCTGGTGAAGACCACAAGAGGTTCTCTCAGATGTCACCATGTTTTCTCCGGTGTAGACCATGAGGGGTGTCTCGGCCATTACCATCATTACTCTGGTGTAGACCATGAAGGGTGTCTCAAATTTTATTGTGATTGCTCTGATAAAGACCATGAGTGGTATCTCAGCCCTCACATGATTCCTCTGGTGTAGGCCGTGGAAAGTGTCTCAGCCTTTATCATGATTCCTCTGGTGAAGACCACAAGGGGTTCTCTCAGATGTTACCGTGATTCCTCTGGTGTAGACCATGGAAAGCGTCTCAACCTTTATCGTGATTCCTCTGGTGAAGACCATGAGGGGTTCTCTCAGATGTTACTGTGATTCCTCGGGTGTAGACCATGGAAAGTGTCTCAGCCATTACCATGATTCCTCAGGTGTAGACTATGAGTTGAGTCCAGCGCTTCTCCTGGAGTGGACACTGTGTGTGCGGGGGAGACAACTGCACGACGACTTTTGCGGATGAGGAATGCAGCAGGGAGGAGGCCTCAGGAAGCCAAACCGGAAGTGCCGAGCTTCCTTGTCTGTCTTATCTTTAAGCACAGCCTTTGGGGAAGCTCCGAGTCACCCAGGAGGTGTGATTGGTTGAACGAGACGGGCGGCCCGACTGGTCTAGCAATCCGGGAGGTGTGATTGGCTGAGTAAGCTTGGAGGCGTGGCTGTCCAGGTGAGCCGGGTGGTGTGATTGGCTGAGTGAACCAGGAGGCGTGGCTGACTGGGCAAGCTGGGAGGTGTGATTGGCTGCGTGAACCAGAAGGCGTGGCTGGCTGGGCAAGCTGGGAGGTGTGATTGGCTGAGTGAACCAGGAGGCGTGGCTGGTCGGGCAAGCTGGGAGGCGTGATTGGCTGAGTGAATCAGGAGGCGTGGCTGGCCGAGGAGTGGCGGAAGCACTGTAGGTTTCTTGGAGCCTGATTAGGTGCTTGCAGAAATGCCTCCTCTGTGGGCACACAGAGCCCTCGGTCAGAGCTCAGCCATCCGGTGGGTGGCATCTGGGCTCAGGGGTATCGAGAGGGGCGTGAGGTGGGCAGAGACGCTCTGTGCAGTGCTCCAGACCCCAGAGGTGCAGACCCCCCCAATGCCCGGTGCCAAGTGCACTGGGCCACCACCCTGGAGGAAGGAGGGAGGCTTGGAGAGGCAGGTGGTCTGCCATGCACCCCGACAGGAGGAGAAAGGGGCGTCCCACGGTGCAATTCACACAAAGGTGGCTCCCATTTCTCCAGGCAGGGACTGAGGTGCATTGTCTGGGTAGAAGTATCACCCAGGGGGGCTGGAGCGATAGCACAGCGGGGAGGGCGTTTGCCTTGCACGCAGCCGACATGGGTTCGATTCCCAGCATCCCATAGGGTCCCCCGAGCACCGCCAGGAGTAACTCCTGAGTGCAGAGCCAGGAGGAACCCCTGTGCATCGCCAGGTGTGACCCCAAAAGAAAGGAAAATTTAAAAAGTGGCACCCAGGAGAAGGTGGCCAGGAAAACAGGTGTCAGGTGACGCTGGCGATTCTGCATTAGACCACATGGGGCTGTCTCTGGCTCTGCACTCAGAGATCACCCTTGGCCAGGCCCCAGGGGGTACCCTAGGGGGTGTCAGCGTCCTGCCTGCCCGCTGTGCTACTGCTCTGGCCCCACCCAATGGCCCTCGGGAGTTCTGCCTCTTCTCTGGGGGAGGAGTTGGTGCTGCTGAGTTTCTGTGGTGTTTTAGATCCGTTTGCTCAGGAAGAAAGTGAAAGATTTGCAGTGCTGGGGCAATGGCATCTCTGGAAGGACATTTGGGGTGGGCCTGGGGGTGGGGACTGGGGGTGGGGGACCCTATGGGATGCTGGGAATCAAACCCATGTCGGCTGCGTGCAAGGCAAACGCCCTACCTGCTGTGCTATCGCTCCAGCCCCCCTGGGTGATACTTCTACCCAGACAATGCACCTCAGTCCCTGCCTGGAGAAATGGGAGCCACCTTTGTGTGAATTGCACCGTGGGACGCCCCTTTCTCTGTGCTAACAGAAGGGGTCTGGGTCAAGCTGGCTTGGAGGGGCAGTGAGGGCGAGGGGCCCCGTGCAATGACCTTTGTACGAGGCCAAGAGAGAGTGGTTTCGTGGACAGGCGGGTATCCGGGGACAAGAAACGCTGCCCGCTGGGCATCTGGTCCTGGGCGCTAAGCCCCTCCGGCTTCCGGGCTCTCTGTTCCTCAGTGCCCAGACGCATCAAGGTACAAGACCCCCGGGGCTGGTGTCCATGTACGGCCTCACGCTCTGCGCCCACCCCCTGTCCTTTGGGCCTGCCTCAGTGGCTCTGCCCTGACACCCCGATTTCAAACAGCAGGACCCCACCCCCCCAAAAAAAAACCCATGACCCGGCCTCAGCCGGGCCTCATCAGTCTGAGTGATGGAGGTAACTGCATCTGAGTGATGGGGGTAACTGCATCTGAGTTACACCTTCTCTTCCACGCCTCTGGGGTGCATGCGGGCAGTGGGGCTCACAGTGAGACTCAGAGGGACTCAGGGAAGAGCTGTTGGTTAGCAGTGCCCCCGCCCCCGGCCCATTGGAGACCCCGGGCCTGCCCCGCACACACCTGCCCTGTCAATCCACGCCCGGTAGCCGTTGAGTTCCCGCTCGATCTGCTGCTGACGCCGCAGCTTCATGAAGGCCCTCCGGTTCTCCACACGCTCTCTCTCCTTGGCGAACTCCCTGGGGATGGGGGGACACGCGTGAGTCACCAAGTCTGCCTGGGTGTGTGTGTGGGGGGGGGTTGCATCTGGACTGGCAGGGGCAATGGTTGAGTCACAGAATCTGTCCACTGCACTCAGAGGTCATTCCTGGCAATGCTCGGAGGACCTGATGGGATGTCGGGAATCAAACCCGGGTTGGCCGCGTGCCAGGCAAATGCCCTCCCCGCTGTGCGGACACTCCCGGCTTCGTTACCTTCCTCCTCCTTGATGCCAGAGACAGGACTGTGACCTCACACACATGAGGGTTCAAGGGACCTTGGAGTCACATCCAAGACCGCATCACGGGATATGCAGGCGCTTGTGTCCCCCTGGCTGTGTGCAAACACCTCACCTGCTCAGCTCTGAAAGGGTCTTTATTTAGGGTGGGGGTAGGGTTTGGGGCCACACCTTGTGATGCTCAAGGCTTCCTCCAGGCTCTGTGCTCAGGAATCCCTCCTAGCTCAAGAGACCCCATGGGATGTTAGGAATCAAACCTGGGTCTGTTGCGAGCCAGGCCAGCGCCTGCTGTTCTATCACTCCAGCCCTGAGCATGGAGCACCCCGTCTCGAGCACCCATGCTGGGCACAGACTCCCCACCAGCCCTCAGGACCTTCCTCAGCCCCCATAAGTAACAGGGTTGGTGGAGAATCCCTAAGTAGTGTGTGGCGGTAACTGCATCTGAGTGATGGGGGTAACTGCAACTGAGTGGTGGGGGTAATTGCATCTGAGTGATGGGGGTAACTGCATCAGAGTGATGGGGGTAACTGCATCTGAGTGATGGAGGTAACTGCATCAGAGTGATGGGGTAACTGCATCCGAGTGATGGGGGTAACTGCATCAGAGTGATGGGGTAACTGCATCTGAGTGATGGGGGTAACTGCATCAGAGTGATGGAGGTAACTCCATCAGAGTGACAGGGGTAACTGCATCAGAGTGCTGAGATGTGCTCTGGACCTGAGCCCCGGGCCAGGCTCTCCCATGCGGATGCAGGCAGCAGTGATGGCCATGAAGGAAGGACAGGCCACACAGAGGACACACGAGGGTCCAAGAGAATGAGGGAGGTGGGCAGAGTCAGGGGGTGAAAAAGGGGTCATAACCACCTGGCTGAGTGGAATTGAGGGCAGGTCAGCCCAGAGCAGAGGCCACAAAGCTGCTCCGTGGCACAGGGTATGAGACCCTAAGGGCACGGAGAGAAGAGAGGGCTGTCGGGGGCACACAAGGTCCTTTGGGGCCTGCAGAGCATTCCCCCCGCCCCCATGCCGCCTCTGCAGAAGAGCTAAGGCAGTTCTGAAGAGGCAAACAGTTGCTGAAGGTCGCCGGCTGCGCTATGTACACCGGGCACGGCCTCCCTTGTTCAGGAAGGGATTTCGGGGGACTTAGGTGGTCAACATGTAAAGGCCAGCTGCAGCTGCTCCGCTCAATGGTGGGGGAAGGGCGGGGGCAGCGGCGGAGAGGGCGGCTTGGGACGAGGCCTCTGACCCCCACACATGCTGGGCTGGAACCCAAGTGTGGAGTCACCCTCGCCCGCCCCCCCCCCCCAAGCTCATCCTCCCATCCCCTCCCCCAGCAGCACAAAGAGCGGCCAGGTGGGGGCCCAGTCCACCCCCACGGTCTCTGTCCTCTCCTCGTCTCCTCTGGCCTCTGGATAGCTGGGGTGGGGGGTCTTCCCGCCACCCCCACTGCCGGCGCTGGTGGTCCTGAGGCGCCCACCGTCTCAACATCGCCTCCCTGCTGGAGACTGCAACGCAGAGTGACAGCACAGCGGGGAGGGCATTGGCCTGGCATGCAGCCAACCCAGGTTCGGTCCCCGGCATCCCCTAGGGTCCCCTGAGCACCACCAGGAGTCAGCCCTGAGCATCACTAGCCCCTTCCAAAAATGAAAGGAGACAGATCAAGGGCTCAGAGATAGCACAGCGGGGAGGGCGCTGGTCTGGCACACGGCCGATCCGGGTTCAATCCCCGGCATCCCCTAGGGTCCCCCCGAGCACTGCCAGGAGTGATTCCTGAGTGCAGAGCCAGGAGTCAGCCCTGAGCACCGTGGCGTGCGGTCCCCAACCAAAAAAACAAAACAAACCCCAAACCATCAGGCCCCCGTGAACCCTGATCATGGCCCAGCATTTGTGCTCAGCGTGTGTGTGTGCGGACCGGGTGCCTCTGATGCTTTCGAGACAGATGTCCCCAAACCCACAGCACCAGGCAGTTCCAGGCTACTGAGCTGGCAGCATTAGAACCTGTCTTTCTGAGCTCGCCGGAAACTGCCTTGGAGGGGAGGGGGGGCGGCATCCTGTGTCATGAAGGCACGTATGAGAGGTGCGAGCAGAGACCGCCCCCCCCCCCCCAGTCTCCTCCGAGTGGAAGGGGCTTGAGAAGGGAATTCTCCAAAGTGGAGACACAGCCCCAGGGGCGTGGGGAGACCGTGGCCAGGGCTGCACTGTGAGGAACGTGGGGATGGCAATGCTGAGTGACATTTTTTTTTTTTCCTGGAAAGGGCCAGAGGGACTGATCCATTTGGGAATCTGCAGCTGAGAGAACCACAAACGCATCACAAGCGAGATGCAGTGAGCAAACGGAGCTGGTTACATCTGGGGGCAGAGAAAGGAAATCAAGGCTGGGGGGGCAGCCCGGGGCGGGGGGCACGTGTGCTTCCCCACGGGGGAACCTGAGTTTGATCCCTGGGATCACACAGCCTAGCAGGCACCAGCAGCAGTGGCCCCCGGGACACCGTGTGTGGCCCCCAATCAAAGGAAATTAAAACCCAAACAAACAAAAATAAACTAATAATTGGCAGGCTCCATGACACATCACCTCCTGGAATGTATGTCCCTTTTTTGCTACAAGGGCAGTTTGTAAACAAATCACACACACACACACACACACACACACACACCAGCCCGGGGAGACTTGAAAGTGATTCTTGGTGCAGAGCACACACACACACACACACACACAGACAGACACACAAACAGCCCAGGGGACTTGAAAGTGATTCTCAGCCGCAGAGTACACACAGACTCACACAGAAACACACACACACACACACACACACCCCAGCTGGAGGACTGATTCTTGGCATTCTTGGCCACAGAGTACACACAGAGACACACAGAAACAGGAACACACATACACACACCCAGGCCGGGGGGACTTGAAAGGGATTCTCAGCTGTAGAGCACACACACATACACACACACAGATAGACAACACACCAGCCTGGGGGGACTCAAAAGTGATTCTTGATCACAGAACACACACATACACTGACACATACACACACCCAGCCCGGGGTACTTGAAAGTGATTCTTGGCCGCAGAGTACACACAGACACACAGAGAAAGAAACACACACACACACACACACACACATCAGCCTTGGGGACTTGAAAGGGATTCTTGGCTGCATAGCAACACACACACACACACCAGCCTTGCGGGACTTAAAAGTGATTCTCGGCCACAGAGTGCACACAGACTCACACAGAAACAGACAGACACACACACACACACACACACACACACACACCAGGCTGAGGGAACTTGAAAGTGATTCTCGGCCGCAGAGTACACACACACACACACAGACACACACACACACACACACACACCAGCCGTGGGGGACTTGAAAGTTATTCTTGGCCGCAGAGTATACACAGACACACACAGACACAGAGACACACAGACACACAGAGACACACACAGACACACACACACACCCCAGGCTGGGGGGACTTGAAAGTGATTCTCGGCTGCAGAGCACACACAGACACACACAGACACACACACACACACACACACACACACACACCAGCCGTGGGGGACTTGAAAGTTATTCTTGGCCGCAGAGTATACACAGACACACACAGACACAGAGACACACAGACACACAGAGACACACACAGACACACACACACGCCCCAGGCTGGGGGGACTTGAAAGTGATTCTCGGCTGCAGAGCACACACAGACACACACAGACACACACACACCAGCCGTGGGGGACTTGAAAGTTATTCTTGGCCGCAGAGTATACACAGACACACACAGACACAGAGATACACAGACACACAGAGACACACACAGACACACACACACACCCCAGGCTGGGGGGACTTGAAAGTGATTCTCGGCTGCAGAGCACACACACAGAGACACACAGACACACAGACACACACCCAGGAGGGGCCTGGGAAGTAATTCTCAGCGCAGAGCCAGGGACGCGCCATCCACGGGGGCAACAGCCTTTTCCCTCCGTCCACGTGAGCCGCGCCCGAGCCCCCCAGATGGGCCGTTTCTTTTCCAAACGCTCCCGGCTCATTCTCAGGGAAGCATCAAACGGGCGGGCGGGCGGCATCAGCTCATTTCAAAAAAAGAGGCCAAGGGGTCTTCAAAGACCCATTCAGGGCCGTAAAACGCAAGAGCGAGACAAGGCCAATATCCCTCGGACCCCCGCTAAGGGGCCCCGAGGGGCTCGTTCTGGGCTGTGCCAAGTGACGCCTGAGATTACAGCGCGGCTTCACACCTCCGCCCCCGCCCGGCTCAGCTCCTGCCTCTGTGCTCCCTCCTCTGCCTTTTGTCTTTTTTGTGGGAGGCCCACACGGAGGTGCTCAGTCAGAGGTGCTCACTCGCTACTCCTGGCTCTGCGCTTGGGGACCACTTGGGGTCCTGGCAGGAGCCTTATTTGGGCAAGTGCCTCACCCCTGGCATTCCCTTCTTCTCCTCTGCCTTATTTTTTTTGCTTTTTGAGTCCCACCCGGCGATGCTCAGGGCTGACTCCCGGCTCTGCACTCGGGAATCACTCCTGGCGGTGCTCGGGGGACCCTAGGGGATGCCGGGGATCGAACCCGGGTCGACTGCGTGCAAGGCCAACTCCCTCCCCACTCGGAACCCAACCCACGCGGTCCTTAAAGAAGTCACAGAAGGGCTGGAGCCATAGCACAGCAGGGAGGGCGTTTGCCTTGCAGGCGGCCAACCCAGGTTCGATTCC